GTTAAGCTGGATTTGAGTCCAGTAGCACTTTAGACACCAACAAGATTTTCAGGGTACACGCTTTTGAGAGGTACGACAGAGGGAGCTCTGACTCAAAAACTCATACCCAGTGTTCCCTCTAAGCTGAGTTAGTGTGAGCTAGCTCACAGTTTTTTAGCCTCTGGCTCACACATTTTTGCCTTCGCTCAGGAAGGGAGGGCTCCAGAGCAAACTAATTCATGCAGTAGCCAAATGGCTCGCTCACAACTTCAGTGCCAGTAGCGCACAAAGTAGATTTTTTTGCTCCCAAGACTCCACAGCTTAGAGGGAGTATTGCTCATACGCCATAAATCTCATTGCTCTCCAAGGACTTGGATCTACCTTTTCTACTGCAGATCAGCACAGCTACCCTGTGAAACTCTTAATTGTTAAACAGATCTTGACTGTACCGGCTTGCTTCACAAATTAAAAGGGCATTGTAGGCATTCTAGAATTTTTTAAACATGCCTGAGATAAAAATAAAGACTACACAAGTCTGAACTCCATTCATGCTTCATGCAGACACCTGTCTGAAATGTCCTCCTTTCCTAATCATGGAAGGCTGGCACTGAGAGTGCCAAATGGGAGGACTCTGAGGTGACAGTGTTGTACCTCTACATGTCATGATGCCATTGTCAGCAGTCCCAAAATAAGGAAATGGTATTCCTGATCTCACTAATGCCATCTGTGTATTTAGGCAACCCAGTAAGATTAGTTGTATTTCGTGCTTCTCGCTAAATGTTGGTCTGAAACAGCAGAACAAAGTTTGAGTCCAGTGGCACCTTTACGACCAGCAAAAGTTTTATTCAAGATATAAGCTTTTGTGCGCACATGCACTTTTTCAGGTACAATGAAATGGAAGTTACCAGTCCATAGATATAGGTGAACTGTAAATTAGCATACAGCATAATGAAGATGTTTAATTGATCCAAGGTCCAAACAGGAATAACAAGCTTAGTTTATATGGTTATCATTTGTTTGGGTTTAATTCGGGGGAAACGTAGTGGAGGAAATAAATATGTCAAAATTGGAGATTGATGGGCAATGTATCCTTAGTTGTGGAATGTTGAGTGTAATTAACTGAGACCATGCCATTACACTCCATCTGTCTCTTCTCAAGCATGGAGGCAACGCTACAGCATCTTCTTGTTTGAAGTGGGGCAATTGGCTGTGTAGAGTTATCTCCCCTGTCCCCAGACCAGAGAAATACATTCCAATCTAGCATTCCAAATTAGACTCTACTATTCATTACGGTGCGTAGTGTAGCCAGGAAATCCTATGATTGTCTGGCAGCCAGAAGTTCTAGCTCTTTAGTGTTATCCAGGGTACACCACGAGGAAGCGAGCTAGAATTGCTGCGACTGAGTGGATTGAAAATTTAGATATTAGTATTTAGGGGGATTGCCCACTCGGTCTGCATACCCGTTGTATCATCTTGGTTACATATTTTATATGCTTCTTGTGTGTAACTGCCATATGAATAATAATAACAACAATTCATTACATTACATTACAATCTACTAATCTGTTATTCCAAAAAAGAAATAAAATAAAGAGGACGTATGGCCCTTCTGGGGGATTGGTGAGAATATAGATGTAAAGGCTGATTGAGGTTAGCATATGTAGTGAGATAAGAAATCAATATTCCTGTTAAGTCCTGGGGATTCCATTGTTCTGAGTATTGTAATAACTTGCAACTCAGCAGTTTCCCTTTCTAGTCTGTTCCTGAAGTTCCTTTGCAATAAAACAGCTACTTTGAGGTCACCCATTGAATGTTCTGGAAGGTTGAAGTGTTCTCCTACTCTCAGTCTTGTGGGGTTTGACCTGTTTGCCCTATGCAGAGAACTGAGGGGCATTGTTGGCATTTAATGGCATATTCAGTGTTAGAAGGTCAGCATGTGAATAAGCCTGAGATGTGTAGTTGATGTTGTTAGGTCCAGTGATTGTGTTGTCTGGGTGTATGTGGCAGCAAAGTTGGCATCTGGGTTTATTGCAAGCTCTGGTACCAGTGTCCATGTTCAAATTAGATGTTGTATTATTGTGAGTGAGGAGTTGTTTGAGAATGGGGGGGCTGTCTGTGTGCAAGAAAACTGTGTGCAGTACCTGAGAGAAAGAATTGTCATTATCCAGTAGAGACTGTAGGTCACTGATGATGTGTGGAACTGTTTTGAGTTGAGTCATGTACAAGGAAAATGGAAGAAACGTCGCAGATGTGATTGCTCACTATTAAATGAGCATTCGAACCTATGCCATCAAAGGAGAAATCTTACCTTTTCGCCAGCTAAACTCTAAGTCTTTAGAGATGAGCACACACCGAGGCAGTCCTCCAAACAAAACTTGGTTCTCCGCGCCCCCCTTGATGAAGACCGCCTTCAGGTGGTGGTGCAAGGTGCCCAGAGAAAACAGTGCATATGTCAGATCTAGTGTTCCCATCAACAGTGAAGACTGCCTGCTGTGTCCGGGCTCTGCATCAATTTCCCCCACCTTCCGTGTTCTGTGACATCACAGCGGCTTAGCCAGTATCCATGGAGATCATGGAATGGGCAAATTTTCAAATGTTTAGGGCATTTGAATGGAGTGTTAGTTTACAGATTTAACGGATATCTGTGGTTCTGTCCTTTTTCTTTTAAATGCTGTTCACCCCTTCAGGCATGGCCCCACTGCTGGACCTCCGGATGGCACCTGGTATTTTTGGCCACTGTGTGACAAGAGTGTTGGACTAGATGGGCCATTGGCCTGATCCAACATTGGCTTCTCTTATGTTGACAAACCACCCCTCCCCTGTCTTCTGCCGTTTTGCCCAAGTCCTTATGGCATTGCTATTACTGCTACTGTGTTCTCTCTTTCCCTCACTCCCTATGCATCGCATGCATGATGTGCAGCCTCTGCCTTCCTCGAGCTCCATTTTCTCATTCATGATCCCTACTGGCTGCCCTTCCCCCAGCCAAGGATGGTAGCTGTGGCATCACAGGAGCTTGGCTGGGAGGGTGGGGGCAGGCCTTGCAGCCACCTAGCCAATACGTGACAGCCAGCTTAGGTGTGTGGGCCATTCACATCTGTGGTGTGTCACATTCACATCTGCCTTCTGCAACACAGCAGTCCTCCATGAGGGGACTGTCACAGTGCAGAGAGCAGTCTATTGCAGCAACCCTGCTGCCTAAGCAACCCATTTTCTTTGGCACTTTTTAACCATTTCTGCTGGTTCACAGCAGTTCATCTGAACTGCATGGCAAGAGACCATTGGGATGTGCTTCCTCGCAGCAATGAACCTTTCTAGGCCATTACATTATTTCAATTACACCCATTCCTCAATTCTTCCACACTTACCTTTGCCGATTGTGCACTGTGATCTTTAGTTTATTCCATGCAGCCTGTGTGAAAAAGCTCACCGTGAGCTCCGTTTAGTAGAAGTGGAACTGAAGCTTTCAGGGGATGCAGAATGATGGTCCAAAGCAGAGGTTCCCCTTGGAACCAAGCTGAACTCCCGTGGTTTATCTACAGCAGACTATATCTAATAAAGTATTGGGTTTGGATGCAGGAGACCTAGGTTCAAATTTCTGTTGAGCAGGTAAGCTTTCTCAGGGACCTTGAACAGTTCTCATGGATGTGGGAATAGGAAGCTGTCTCAGAGGAAGCCAGACCAGTGGCCACATCTTTGTTGAACTGCTAGGCCCTTTGGGAAATATGGTACTGGGCACACCCACAAAATGGCTCCCAGGAAAGTCTGGGTTCCCTCACCTAACACTGGGAGGTTTCACAAAATGCTAGGAGGTTTCAAGCCAAACATGTTCTTATCAGGGAGAGGTCTGTTTCCAAATGGGTGCTCTCTGGCCACAAAGGGTGATACCTTCTAAGCTCTTCTGAACTACTTCCTGTTCCAGTGAGGTAGAGAAAAGCCAGGAATGGCTCTTTGCTTCAGGGAGGAAGCAAGTGGGCTCTAGGAAGCGCATCGGGGATCACCGTTCTACTGCAACCAGCAGCAACTCCACAAGCTTTCAGACCAGTCTTGTAAGTGAAGATGCTGGAGAGTGAAATCTGGGACTTTTTAGATGTAAACTACTAAGCTGTGACACCCTGCCCAATAAAATGAGATAACTCCATGTATACAACTCAAATTCCTTGGAAGAATAATAGGATACATATTTCCACTGATTTTAGTTGGTCTGTCCTGAAAGAATCATGGTTTCTTATAGCAGGAATACCACTGGAGGCATGGGGGGGGGGTCCCTGCTATTTCAGACCACATTTTCAGGGCTTAAAGTTTCTGCACAGCTCCCTGATTTTTTACCCTTAGTGGCTCCAATGATAAACAAAGGGGCCTATACGCTGGCTATGTACGACAAAGCCACAAAAAAGAAGAGACGATAGTGTAAGTCATATTTCTTATCATTAAAAAAACGACAGCACAGTATAAAGTAAAAAAAATCTAAACAGAGTTTTCTATATTTGCAGATTAACCTTCAATGTATCCAACCGTAAGGCTTTTAAACCTTGCAGGGACTTTTCTTCCAGCTAACAAAATCTCTGCCACCCCACCCACCCACCCAGTGAAACCTAAAAAGCTGTCCTTGACCTATATTCCTGCCATCTCAAGCTAGGACAGCTGAGATTACCTCAGTCGGGCCTGGGGTGAGCACAGCTGCCTGGTGGGAGGGTTGTTTATGTTTTGCAGGATGGCAGGTTAGTTGTCCCAAAATGCCGGGGAATAAAGACAAGCCTGCTGGAGAGCCCTCTCGTCCTTCTTGGCTAGACGCAGTGCCTTCCTCCCCTGCTTCACTGCTTGCGGTCGCTAGCTGACAGCAACCAGCCCCATCCCACACTCTGGAGTCAGCCAAAACCTTCCCACCTGGCTCTGGAGGAGGGACGCCAAGGCGGGCAAGCAGGGTTTGCATACCCAGTCCAGGTGGTGCCGGAAAGCAGATGGGGTCCCCCGGCCTCCTTTGGAGAACAACTTTCTGGCTGCTGGTGCAAGGACTGCAGAGTATGTGGATCGGTGCCCAGGCTAAAAACCGTAGCTGCCTCTCCTATGGATCCGGCACTCTGAGGGAAGGCGAGGAGATTCTCCAGGGCTTGATTTTGGAAGATGGCCAGAACGGAACGATCCAGTGCCCTCACAACCAGTGCTGTTTTGGCGTTTGGAAGGTGATCCAGGGTCAGCTTCAACCCCAGTTGAAAGGTGAGGACTATGGTGGAAGGCCGTGGGGTTCATTTGGCTGCGGGGGTCTCATGAAGCAGACAAACTGGGTAAGAGGTTTAAAAGCTTTTTCATTTGTCAGGCAAAGGTGGTCACAGAAACAAGTATGAAAATGACCACACCCAACAGAGGGTGGGCTAGACAATTACAGGCATTGCTTACATAGTATCTGAGCATGCACAACAAATGGTTTTTTTCCCTCTTCTATGCCTAAGAGTCTATATAAATTTCTACTGCTGACAGCTGTACAATTTGAGGAGCAATCTGTGTTAACCGCAACATCTTTGGGTTTTTTTCAGTAGTTCTAGAAATAGTTATTAGCCCAGACATTTGCTTACCAGCTTCCTTTAGACAGGCTGTTTTAAGCACAAATCCACACTTCTGCTTCTTGCAAAGCGAACAAAGGTTACAAATCAGGCAAACATGGCTCCCTTGATGATAAACTGAGCATTCATATCTCAGGACCAACTGTGGAACCAGGATTCTCCCCCACCACCCCAGGGAGTGGTGAAACAGAAGAGTGCTGGAGGTGGGATTGCAGCAGGAGGATGGGAGGGCTGGAAACCCAAATGGCTGCCAGTCCTGGCTATCTTTGAATGCGTGGATTGGGGATAAAAGCATCAAGATTCTGCTGCCTTTCGTTTCACTTTGCAGAGTGTGGGCTCCACATTCTCGTGATTTATTCCTAGACACAGAGTCATTAGAGAGACCAGAAGGTCATCAAGCCCACTCCCCTGGTGGTCCTCCTCATCTCTTCCTCCCTCTAAATTAAGCAGCCATGACGGTACTAGACCTAATGGGCCGAGCCAAGTATTTCTGGCCTCTGTGAGGAAAAGAAACCAGTACATTTTGCAATGTATCTGAAGAAGTGCGCATGTGCACACAAATGTTCATACCCAGAATAAAAGGTGCCGCTGGACTCTACCTTTGTTCTGTTGCTTCTGACCAACACGGCTACAGCCTCATGGAACTGGTAAATTAACAATGTGAGAGGGAGAAACGCTGAAAGAGGAGCTTCCATTTCTGTCAAGCTCATCTTTTGATCTAGACTGGTTTAAGAGGCGCAGAGAGACGCCACTATACTTCATGATAGAAAGCAGCGCAGCTGAGATAAAAGTTTTTATAGGGAGAAAAGGGGGATGAGTAGACAGTCCTGCCCTATAGCAGGAGAGGTTGAGCTGGATCACCTTTTTAGTTCCTGCCAACTCTAGGAATTCTTTGGGCTGATTTGTAGATACACATAATATAACTGGATAGTTTGCAGCTGAATGGATCGCTGGAGGTAATTGTGCTTGCCATGATATGAAAATCCGGGGCTGGTTTATGCAAGCTTGTTTGTTGTTTGATTATATTGCAATATTAAGAGACTAGGAAAAAGGCCCATTGTGGAAATAAATACAACGGCCTCTAGAAAGAGGCTCTGGGGGGGTGTCCCGGCCTTGGACACTTAGTGTCAATTTGCTGTGGCGACCTCAGCAGGGTATAATGACACTGAGTCCACCATTTTCTCCAGAGGAACTGATCTCTGCTACCTAAAGAACAGTTGTAATTTTGAGTGATCTCCAGCCCTCACCTGGAGATTGGCAACGATGGTTTCCCAGAAGGGAATAGTTGGGTTGTAGGGTGGAGTCTATGGCTTTGTACCTGTCCGAGGTCCCACGCTTCCTGAAACCTCACCCTCTCCAGGCTCCATCCCTTGCATCTCCAGGAATTTCCCACCTGGAGTTGGCAACCCTATCTTATTCCCAGCCAATCCTCAACCTACCTTTATTTCCCCCTCGCTCTTCAGCTTTCCACCCCCCACACACCTGCAGCCTCTCCCGTGCTCTGAAGCCCTGACTGCTACATCACATTGGCTGTCATATGGAGGCCACCTCAGCAGGATATAAGGATACAGAGTCCACCATTTTCTCCAGGGGAACTGATCTCTGCCATCTGGAAAGCAGTTGTAATTCTGAGTGATCTCCAGCTCTCACCTGGAGACTGGACACATTTTACCTCAGAACAGCAAACTGTTTAGAATGTTAGAGGCAAAAGCCAATCAAAGAGCGAACTGATTTTGGAGCGTGTGGAATGTTCTAGAGAAGTGCCACCACCATTTGGCTTTTATTTATAAGGGAGATGGCATACACATGCAAACGGGCCGCAGACCAAACAACCACAGACACAACATTCATGTTACTGCAAAAGTAAGTCTTTTCAAGGGAGTCAGTTCATGCATTTGGCTGCCAATCATCCTGTATAGAGAAACCAGGAGTTGTACAGGTATATGTTGGCTGATCAGCAATGGCAGATTCTGGGGTTGCCAACTTTGGTTTGGGAAATTCCTGGAGATTTGCACCAGAGCCTGGGAAGGGTGCGGTGAGGAGGGGAGGGGCCTCAGCCCGATATAATGTCATATAGTCCACCCTCCAAATCAGCCATTTTCTCCTGGGGAACTGATCTTTCTAGCCTGGAGATCAGTTGCAATGCTGAGAGACCTCCAAGCCCCACCTGGAGGCTGGCAAACCGAGCAGATTCTTGCATGCAAATGATCACTTAGTAATATGCGGTCATCCACTGATGAGCATGCACATGAAAATTCAATTTCCCTGAACCTCAGTTCTGTGCATGGATTATAAAATGCGTGTGTGCGTTTTGCTCATGTACACATGCACCTAATTATGTCCCCAGTGGGACAAGTCATGGTTCTCTGCAGCCATTTCAGGTTGGGAAAATTACTTGGGAAGGGGGACGCCTCATGCTGTCTTCTAGAGTTGCCAACTCTGGGTTGAGAAATTCCTGGATATTTGGGGAGCCTGGAGACAGAGGGATTTTGGGTGGCTGGGGGACCTCAGGAGGGTATAAAGCCACGGAGTCCACCCTCCAAAGCAGCCATTTTCTTCAGGGAACTGGAGAATTCCAGGAGATCTTATTTATTTATTTATTTATTTCGATTTATGCCCCGCCCTCCCCGCAATGCGGGCTCAGGGCGGCTTACAAGTGGCAAACGCCAATATAAAACAAATTTTAAAACATTTATAAATCCCACAATACAAAAACATTCTTAACAATTATTTGACTAGAGTGCTCTAGATGTTCAACATAATATCAGATGGCATTTTTTATAACTGTTCAGCCTCATCTGCTCCAGGGACTGATGTTCACCTCATCCAGGACCAGGTAAAGATGGAATAGCGGTGATGTTAGTGGCGGCTCCTACTCATACGCCTGGTGGAAGAGCTCCGTCTTACAGGCCCTGCGGAACTGCATAAGGTCCCACAGGGCCCGGATCTCCTCCGGGAGCTCATTCCACCAGGTAGGAGCCGCCACCGAGAAAGCCCTGGCCCTGGTCGCGGCCAGCCTGGCCTCTTTGGGACCCACCTGGCATTGCCAGGAGATGTTGGGTTTCACCTAGAGGTTGGCAAGCCTACCCCCTCCCCACAGTCCCAGTCTGGATCAGACACCCCACCCCCCATGCCTGAAAATTAAGTTTCCACATGAACTCTCAGGCCATGTTTGCTCTATAGAAGAAGAAACGATTGGATTTATACCCCACCCTTCACTACCCGAAGGAGTCTCAGAACAGCTTACAGTCTCCTTTCCTTTCTCTTCCCCACAACAGACACCCTGTGAAGTAGGTGGGACTGAGAGTGCTCTTTCGAGGACTGCTTGTGAGAGAACAGCTCTGAAACAACTGTGACTGACCCAAGGTCACTCCAGCAGCTGCAAGTGGAGGAGTGGGGAATCAAACCCGGTTCTCCCAGATTAGAGTTCACGCTCCTAACCACTACAGTAGACTGGCTCTCTATAGGATCTGGTATAGACCTGGATAGCCTCCTGACCTGGATGGCCCAGGCTAGCCTGATCTGATCAGATCTCAGAACCTAAGCAGGGTCCACCCTCTTCAGTGATCACCAAGAAAGTCCAGGGTCGCAACAAAGTTCCTCATCAAAGGCTCCTAAATAAGCTCAATAGTCATGGGATAAAAGGACAAGTCCTCTTGTGGATAAAAAACCGGCTGATTAATAGGAAACAGAGAGTGAGTATAAATGGGCAATTTTCTCAGTGGAGGGTGATAAGCAGTGGGGTACCGCAGGGATCAGTACTGGGTCCGATGCTTTTTAACTTGTTCATTAATGATTTGGAGTTGGGAACAAGCAGTGAAGTAGCTACATTTGCAGATGACACTAAATTGTTCAGGGTGGTGAAAACCAGGGAGGATTGTGAGGCACTCCAAAGGGATCTGTCGAGGATGGGCGAGTGGGCGTCAATATGGCAGATGGGGTTAAATGTGGCCAAATGCAAAGTGATGCACATTGGGGCCAAAAATCCTAACTATAAATACACGTTGATGGGGTCCAAACTGGCAGAGACTAACCAAGAGAGAGAGCTTGGCGTCATAGTAGATAACTCACTGAAAATGTCAAGACAGTGGGCGACTGCAATAAAAAAGGTCAACGCTATGCTGGGGATTATTAGGAAGGGAATTGAAAACAAATCAGCCAGTATCATAATGCCCCTATATAAATCACCACACCTGGTCACAGTTCTGGTCACCACACCTCAGAAAAGATATTATAGCATTGGGAAAAGTGCAGAGAAGGGCAACTAGAATGATAAAAGGGTTGGAACACTTTCCCTATAAAGAAAGGTTAAAGCGCTTGGGGCTCTTTAGCTTGGAATAATGACGACTGAGGGGTGACATGATAGAGGTTTACAAGATTAAGGGGATAGAGCAGGTTGAGAAAGAAGTACTTTTCTCCCTTTCTCAAAATACAAGAACTCATGGACACTCAATGAAATTGCTGAGCAGTTGGGTTAGAACAGATAAAAGGAAGTACTTCTTCACCCAAAGAGTGATTCACACATGGAATTCACTGCCACAGGAAGTGGTGGTGTCTACAAGCATGGACGGCTTCAAGAGGGAATTGGATAAGCATATGGAGCAGAGGTCCATCTGTGGCTATTAGCCACAAGGTATAGATAGGAACTCACAGGCTGGGGCAGATGTGCACTGTATTCTTGGTGCTTGGGGGGGGGGTCAACAGTGGGAGGGCTTCTAGTGTCCTGGCCCCACTGGTGGACCTCCTGATGGCACCTGGTATTTTTGGCCACTGTGTGACAGAGTGTTGGACTGGATGGGCCACTGGCCTGATCCAACATTGGCTTCTCTTATGTTCTTAACATAGAGGCAGGCAATGGCAAACCATCTGTGAATATCTCTTGCCTTGAAAATAGGGTGGCCAGGTCCCACCTGGTCACCAGATGGGGGTTGGGGTTGCCAGTTCAAAACCCTGTGGGGTCACCATAGGTCAGCTGTAACTTGAGGGGAAGAAAAAAACCCTTGGAACCATGTGTCGTATACCCTTATTTCAAAGTGGCTAAAGAACTGTGGGCCTGCCAAGAAGGCACACTGCTGACTTTCATATACTAATGTTTTGTCCCACCCGCTTGAAAAATCTGTTTTGCACCCAGCACCATGAGAACTAATCTCATTTAGTGTGCAGCACATCCTATTTTCCATTTAAAAACTTTGGGCTCTGTCACCATGTCTCAAAGCAACCCCCTCTTTGGTAATAACCATCCAATCTGATAAAGCACTCCCAAGAACTCAAAAGCTCACACACTGCTTTATTTGCAGTCAATTTGTCTTGCCTTTCTCTCCAGTGGAGACCCAAAGGGGCTTACATCATTCTCCTCTCCCTCATAACAACAACCCTGTGAGGCAGGTTAGGCTGAGACTGTGTGAATGGCCCAGTGTCACTGAGAAAGCTTCCAGGGCAGAGTAGGTGATTCAAACCGGGGCCTCACAGATCCTAGTCTGACACTGTCCTGCTTTGTGATGCACGTGGTTCAGTGACATTCTGATTGATCCTAATAAAAGATATCATGTGACCTTTTTGGGGAAATGGATCACTGTCTCTAAGAGGTCTGATTTAAAGGCTCAGAGAAAACAAAGTGAAAACAGTACGAAAGGTTTCTTCCCTCTCACAGAACAACACTGATTCCTCTTACTTCCTAAGAGACTGGCGTCTAAAGGGAACACATGGCTCAGAGAAAAGAAACACAGGAGATAAGTTGAAGGCCAGTTTGAAATCGGAAAAGCAGAAGGAAAAATACGCACTTAATAGGCGCAAGGAGGAGTTCTGTGCTGCTGATGTCAATGGAGTAGGATGAACCTCAGTGAGAAACTTTGGAGTCTGTGCAAAACCAAGACTCAAATTCTGTTTTTTGCACTGCTAGCACAATACAGATATCTTAATTCAAATCCTAACATGGCCATGAGCTCCCTGGGTAACTCCCTTAAGGAAATAGCTCTCTCTCTCTCAAGGTCAGTTCCCCATGGGTTAAAGAAGCATAAGGGTAGCTTAACTCCCATGGTGGCTGAGTGGTGATTCAACCCACCTGTGAACCACAGCAGTGTAATAGCTTGTACTGGAAGCCGCTAAAATGCCACAAAGCAGTGAACAAGTTTTCAGGTTCTATAGAATTTAATATTTTTTTTAAAAGCTGGGGGAGATAAAAAGATGTTTCTGGGCATGGTAGAAAACATATACAGCTTGCAGAGGTCTTAGAATGTACTGCTGGAGGAAAAGCCTACATCTTATTTCCTTTGAAAATATTAAAGCCTGGGGTCCATTTAGGGATGCCAACCTCCAGGTGGGACCCTGGAATTACAGCTCATCTCCAGATTACAGAGATCAGTTCCCCTGAAGAAAACAGCAGCTTTGGAGCATGGGCTCTATGGCATTGTACCCCACTGAGGTCCTTGTCTTCCCTAGGTTCCATCCCCAAATCTCCAGGAGCTTCCCCAGCTGGATCTGGCAACCCTACCCCATCTCCACCAGTGGCCAAGGGGGGACCTGGCAACCCGAGGTTCATTTGAACACATGATGCTGCCTTATGCTGAATCAGGCCATTGGTCCTATTCGGACTGGCAGCCAGCTCTCCAGCATCTTAGGTGGCTGTCTTTCACGTCACCTACTACCTGATCCTTTTAGCTGGGGATACCAGGGATTTGAACGTGGGGCCTTTTGCATTCCTAGCACATGCTCGGCCACTGAGCCGTGGTCCTTCTTCTAAACATTCTTTTGATTTCATAGTGGACTTACTTCCAGATTAAATATGGGTTAGAATCATTGTGTGAACGAGACTAGGACAGCAAAGCACTTTCCCGCATTTTACAGAGATATATGCGGTTTTGTTCTAATTTAGGGCTGCCTGTAGGCCGTCTCAAATTATCAACTTTGGTAGTTGCATCTGGGAAGACCGACGATGAGATATTGATCCCTGCCCTGAAAGATCCAAATCTAATGGGAAAGAGGGAATAGGGGAGGGTAGGGTGTGCAAATGATGAAATGGTTGGAATTGCACTTCAAAGATTGTTTGAAGTTACAGTGAGAGAAATGAAGCTGCCTGGGAGATAAAGAAGAATCCAGCTCTACATTTCTTCTAGTAACAAGGATAAAGCCTTGCCAACCTCTAGGTGAGCTGGAAATCTGGTATTACAACCAATTTCCAGACTACAGAGATTAGTTTCCCTAGAGCAAATAGCTGCTTTGGAGGGTGGACTGTATGTCATTATACCCCACTAAAGTCCCTTCTCTCCCCAAACCCCATCCTCCCCAAGCGCCTCCCCCAAGCTCCAGGAATTTCCCAACCTGGAGATGGCAACCCTGGAATGATCATGACACACCAATGTGTAACAGGAATGAAAAAGAGGTCAATAAATTATTCACAGTATTAGAGATAACAGTTGGCAATGCCTTTGAAGTCGTCGGAATCCCAGCTTTCTTTTTCTTATAATGACTTTTCTAAGAAGGTGGCTGACAGAAGGTGTCCCCCACCCCCACCTCTGCTTGTTTCTCTGGCTCTGCCTTCAGGTTGCTGGATTAGCGAAAAGGAGGCCACGTGCGACTCCCCAACTTGTGAGCCTCGATCCTCTGAGGACAGGCTGACGTTGTCCTGCAGGTGCCAGGCGGATCTGTGTAACGGCAACATCAGTCATGATGGGAAGAGACATGGTAAGAGGTCTTAGGGGTCAGAGGTCAAGGAACATGGGGAGGAAGCAGGGATGACAGAGGACTGCAGTGGAAGGACACTGCTAGAATCACTGCCAGTTTGGTGTAGTGGTTAAGTGCGCGGACTCTAATCTGGGAGAACCGGGTTTGCTTCCCCACTCCTCCACTTGCACCTGGCTGGATGACCTTGGGCAAGCCATAACTCTGGCACAGCTGTTCTTGAAAAAGAACAGTTTCTGTCAAGAGTTCTCTCAGCCCCACCTACCTCACAGGGTGTCTGTTGTGGGGAGGGGAAGGGAAAGGAGTTTGTCAGCCGCTCCGAGACACCTTTGGGTAGTGAAGGGCGGGGTATAAATCCAATCTCTTCTTCTTCTTCTTCTTCTATCAGGGCAAGAAGAGAAAGCGAACAAAAACCTATTCACACAAACACCCTTCTCCCCCTGGTTTTCTTCCAAATTCCTTTCTCTCTACCTTCTCTCACTGCCCCCTTGCTGGCTTATCGCACGTCAAAACAGAGTTTATGGGTTCTACCCTCCCTCACACCAGCAGGTGCAGTCCTGCACACCACTTTCTGTGCATGGATGCTGTCCGTGCACTCAGCAGAGACCTTGAGGGTGTAGGGAGGGAACGCTCCAGACAGCTGAGTCAGCCTGATAGCTGCCCTTTGAAGAAGGCCGAACTGCCTGCTCTCATGAAACTTCTCATGAAACCTAACCAGACCACCTCCTTCCTCCAAATCCCCATACCGTCTCCTCCTAGAAGATAAATGTCATAGCCTCATTTGGGATAGAGACGGGAATTCTCATGGGGGGAAGGTATTAGGATTTCCGCTTCTTCATTTTCCTGGATCTAGAATATCTGGCTCTGGATCTATGTTAGCTGGAATACCTACTGAAAGAGGATCGAAAATTCTAATCCTGTGTTATATAGCTTTCAATTGCACGGGCTGTATCACATTCTAAGATGCACACTTACATATTTTAATGTATTTATTATCTATAATATTTCTTTGCCACCACTTCAGAGTCCTGCTCAAGGCAGCTTACAATTAGAAACACAAGCCACCTAAGATGTCTTAATCGTATAGTTAAAAACCTAAAATGTGAACATGACAAAGAGGTACTTGGAGCCTCATACATCAACAGGCACACTTGGTTCGTCTCTGCATAACAGGCGAAAGGTCCCTTTCAGAAGAGAGGAAAAACTTCTTTGTTTGCCTGAAAGGATTATGAGCCCCTGGTGACTATCATTTCAGAAAGGGTAGGAGTGTGTCAGTTATATGCCAAAGCCATTTTGCAGATCACATTTTTAGCTCTTACACAGAGACAAGGGGGTCTTTCCCACAGTTTGGCTGCTGAACTGCAGCGGTTTTCCTCATGACATTGTCTGCTTGTCCTTCCATGGTTTTCTGGTCATATCTCCTTGTTCTCTCAAACTGCCTTTGATTGGATTTTGAGAAATCATGAAGGAATAATAAAGAAACCACAGAAAGGCAACATTGTGAGGAAACTGAGAGAAAAAAATGCCACAGTTCAGCACTGAAACGGCTAGAAAACCTGTGCGAAAGACCCTAATGTAACCAAATAAACATATATGCTTACATGTGTGCAGCATGGGCTCACACACCCCAGTCAGCCAGCCAGCCAGCATCAACCTTCATTTCCTGATGCAAAGACACTCGTATCTATCAATACATAAGGTACAAGACCCACCTGAGACACTTTGGGTTAAAAATGTGATATGTAGATCATATTATGGCTGCTCTTGGTAATATGGAGTGGCTTTCAGTTTTTAATCCTGAGAGATTTCATCCTGGGAGCTCTTCTGAACATGCTGCTGAGCTATGCAGGGATGCCGGGAATTCGCATCCTTGAGACATTCAAGGCCTCTTCTAGGTCCACAGAACAACTGTAAAAATCTCTCTGGTTGTTAAAATGATGTAACAGACACTGTTTGCTACGTCATGTGACCCTCAGCACACAGATAAGTAGTTTGAAGGGAAAAGGAGAAAACAAGGGCCTTTTTAAGCACAAGGTAGGCCTTCAGGTCAAAGGACTGCCTGCTAATGGGGTGGGGTGGGGATTGTTCTGGCCTGCTTCTGTGCCTTGAAGAGCAGCTTTGGTGGCAGTTTGTGAAGTGTTCAGGACTCTGGCATCCTCATAGCTGGCCAAGCCAACATTTATTCGTTTTATTTACTTCATTTTATGTCCCACCTTTCTCCCTGATGGGGACCCAAAGCAGCTGCATTGTTCTCCTCGCCTCCATTTTATCCTCACAACAACCAGAGGTCATTTCGGGGGGGAACGCGGGGGAACGCATTCCCCCGGTTGAGGTACGGGGGGCGGGGCACATGACGAAGCTTCCGCCCCCGCCCCCCCGCTTCCAGCCCTCATTCAGCCAGGAGGAGGCAGGAGAAGAGGGAGGGTAAGTTGCTTCCTCCCTGCCTCTCCCCACCCCTGTCTGCCTGGGGCCAGGGAGGGCCTTGACGGGGCTTCCTCGCACTCTCGCTGGCCTTGCAGGTCCACCGCCGGGCCCCTGATGTCAGGGGGTGTGGCATATGCTAATGAGTTATGCTAATGAGTTCCCCTAGCTCTTTTTCTACGAAATGACCCCTGACAACAACCCTGTGAGGGAGGTTAGGTGGAGAGTATGTGACTGGGCCAAGGTCACCCTGCAAGCTTCCATGGCCGAGCGGTGATTCAGACCTCGGTCTCCCAGACCCTGGACTGACATTCTAACCACAACACCACACTGGCTTTCTGTATTACATGTGCTGTCTATTACATGTACAGGGGCAATCTGCCAGATCGGAGTCTAGAGTCACTTATGCAAAGGAGGGGAGGAAGGTTTTAAACAGAGTGTGTGTTCTCCACCCGAGTGAGCTCCTGAGGCCCCTCCCCCATACATTTGTTTGCATACCTACATCTTCACAGGTAGATGTGAACACGTTTTTTGGTACTCAGGCCTAAAAGGCTGCATACCTCTGAACCAGCAGATACTGGAAGGTTGCCCTTCATTAGTACCAGATATTGGCATGCAGAGGTAGCAGTGAGCCAGAATGACTGCATTCCCTCCCCTATCAACCTGCTCCCAATTTATCTATCCATCCTTTTTACAAAATCTCACTCTTCCTTCAAGTAATTTAAGACAGAGGATATAATGTCCTTCTCCATCCCATTTTATCCTCACCACTATCCATTATGGCTGTGGTAACATATGTGAATCTTTCAAAACTGCCCTGTGAGGTACACTAGACTAAGAAAAAACGACAGGCCCGAGATCTCTTAGTGAGCTTTATGGCTGAGTGGGCATTTGAACACAGGCCCTATGTTCTATCCACACCCCAAGGCTCATGAAAGCTATTTCCCACTGAGATAAGATATCTGAATCTGAGACAGATTAAAGGTTAATAAAATTTTGTAGGGGTGGAGAAAGTGGATGCGGACTTTGAAGTACATGCCACCACTGCCACTGCCACCAGAAAGCCATTTGTTTCCTTTAATCCTAAAGGAGTGAGATTCTATTGGCTACAGAATCCATCACTTTATGAGCTGTAACGGCTCCCTCCCACCTGGAGGACTGCAGTGCCACGGGCGTGGCCGTGGCCTTCAAACATCAGTGATGGGAGGATATTGGAATGTTGGCTGCCGGAGTTGAGAAAGGGTGGGCGGCACTATACGAGGAGGGAGATGTCCTCTCCCCAGCTTTAATTTTAATTAAAACATCAGAGGAAAGTCTTGTAAGGATGGGAGGGAAACTGATGCCAAGGGTGGGCAGAGAAGAGACAGACATGCAGAGATCCATGAGCACCTGGAGATGTGGGGGGGGGGGTGGCTGTTGGGATGGGTGCCCTAGGCTCAGAGCCAAGAAGCTTGGAAGTGTACACAGTTGCTTGGTGGGAAATAGGTTGAGAGATTATTCACACACACACTCACAGTTCCCCTGCCCCAAAATGTGGCATGCCGATTCTCCCATCTTGGTATGGCTTCTGTGACCTCTGTTTTATCTTTGTAGCTGACTCCTTGCATAGTTCCACTGGGACCATCTGGATCATCTCAGCCATCCCTGTTCTGTTCTTCTTTGGCTTCTTGGCGTTTCTAGGTACTGTGCCATCAAGACGAGTTTTAGCATAGAATAATAAGGCTTCCCCCCCACACGATGGGAAGATAGGGGGTATGTGTGTGAGATGCACACACACACACTCTCTCCTGTGTACCCAAAGATGCTCGCAGGGACTTATTTTCTCATGGTGTGCTCCTGGCCTTACACAGAGGAGCATCATCGAGTACACATATGCATACTTTCATTTTCTCATGAATATACTCCTGCCCACACAGAGATAGCCACGTTGTTTTCAAGAAGCAAGTACATCCCTCTGGCCCCTACAGGCCTCAGTTCCACCTGCAAGGCGATAGGCAAAACAGGATCACAGGTAGCCCAGTATATACTGCACACAACCTAAAGTTAAATTGTGCATATTCAGAGATTGATACCGGGTGCAGAATTCAATATTAGCTTTTTGGGTTTTTTAAAGCAGCAAGTTTCTAGTCCCTGGTGCTTCAAAAGTAGTCCAGGTTTTGTGAGCAATGCAAGATGATTGAAAAACTGGAAGGAGGTGTCTGAGTAGGATTTCTACTGGACAAGGGGGTGGAGGTTCGTTGATCAGCATATCTCTTCATTCAGGAGAATGAATTAAATTAATAAATGGATGAACAAATTAAATTGGATGAACAAATCTCATTTCCCCCCCACATCTTCTAGGAGTTCTCAGACTGTGGAAAGGCCCTGCCTTGCCATTGAGACCACAAGAAACCGGGGAACTCACTAAGGTCATCACAGGATCAGAGACATCCAGCAAGAGGAAATTGCCCAAGCAAGAGCTTCTGGATCTCCAGTTCCATAAGGTATCACCTCCTTTCCTGCATGTCAAGACCCTCCCTCCCTCCCTCCCTCCCTCCCTTCCTTCCTTCCTTCTGAAAAAGAACAAAAAAGGGGAAAACCCAGAAAAAAGAACAAAAAGGGGGGAAAAAACCTAAAAATTCAACAACATAGAGTTTTCCCCTCAGATGGCTGTGGCCCCAGCGTGCCCGGCGGCATCACGTCACATCCGGCTGACGTGCACGCTGGGGTGGGGTTCCCCCCGGGGCCCAATTCCGCGGCAGCGGAAATCGGGCCTCCAAAGCGGGGGATTATCCGCCTCCCGGGGGGACTTGGCAGCCCTATTTGGAATTCTGACACAGCATGGTGGGCACAGCCACAAAATGGCCGCCGCAGGAAGCAGAGCGAGCCACAAAATGGTTGCTGCAGCTTACCACAGTGAAAATCCTTGTGCTATGGTTGCAGCAGTTTCTGCCGAAGTGACATCTTTAAAAAGCTGCACAGCTTGATCAGATTTCCAGTGGCCAATCTGAAGCCTTGCTGGGTAAAAGGATGACCTGGCCCCACCCACTTAAAAAAAACCTCTTGGCGAGCACCAGGAAATGTGTCAACGGGCACCATGGCATCCACAGACACCATGCTGGGGACACCTGATATATATTCTTCTGCCCCTTGTGGCATTCATGTTACAGGGAGGGAGGGATAAAAATGTGAGAAATAAATAAATAAATAAATAACAAATATAAGAGAAGTCCAGTTTAGGCCTTGGGTGAAGATGGTCCGCAAATCTTATTTCTGTGGGCAAATAAGGTATGCACCAGACTACGATTTCCAGAACTCTTTCCTGAGGGAAGAAGAAGAAGAGATTGGATTTATACCCTGCCCTTCACTCGGAGTCTCAGAGCAGCTTACAATCTCTTCCCTTCTCCTCCCCACAACAGACACCCTGTGAGGTGCGTGAGGCTGAGAGAGCTCTTTCAAGAACTGCTCTTGAGAGAACAGCTCTGAAAGAATTGTGACTGACCTAAGGTGACCCAGCTGTCTGTCTGTGGAGAAGTGGGGAATCAAACCCGGTTTTCCAGATTAGAATTCACCATTCTTAACCACTACACCAAACTGGAGGAGCCCTTAATGTTAAACTAGTTCTCAAAGTGGTTTCATGTACGAAGCTTAAATTGGACTGTTTTCTGTGAGTAACATGAATGATCTCCATGGGGTGGAATATATATTCAGGTTTTTTAAAAATATTTTTTGGTATTTTGTGTGTGTGTTTGTGTGTAGGTGTGTGTGTGTGTGTGTGCCTGGAAGTCATGGCTGACTTCCGGCGGCCCCTAGTGGGGCTTGGACATTTCAGAGAGGTGGCTTGCTATTGTCTACCATTGTGTCCCAGCCCTGGTATTCCTTGGAGGTCTCCCATCCAAGTACTTGCCTGGGTTGGCCCTGCTTAGCTTCCAAGATCTGACGAGATTGGGCTTGCCTGGGCTATCCAGGTCAGGGCCATATCCAGTTTTTAAATGTCTCTCGTCCACTTTCTGTTCCACGTGCATGGTGCAATTGAGCATAATGGAAGTACCTTGCCTATAGTTCAAACGCTGAAGTAAGTTACTGTAATGTATTGAGCTTGAGATCCATCACAAAGGCGGGCTAGGATCCTAGAAGCGCACCAGTAGGAACGCTTGGATCCTAAAATAGCTCAATAGGGTTACCTGGAAAGGTAACCTGGTGTAAATAGCCTATCACGGGGAGTGGGGCGTGTTTTGGGTGTGACTTTATCTTTGTTCTCACTGCTGAATCACTTGAGTGATTCGTTGAGTGATCAGCTCATAGTTTATTAACTATGAGCTGATCACTCAACGCGTCTGAACCCAGTACACTTCAGTTACGTTTTCCTCTTTGTCCTGACAGGTTCTTCACGAGGGGCAGTTCTCTAAGGTATGGCAGGGGACATTCGGTCAGCATCCTGTAGCCATTAAGACCTTTCCTCATTCTTGCTACCGGGAGTTTGCGTCTGAGTGGGCTGTGCACAGCCTTCCACTGATGAGCCATGACAATGTGGTACAGCTTGTGGCTGCTGGGTGCGGAGGGCCAGACAAAGAACAAGGTGGTCTCCTCCTGGTGCTGACCCTGTACCCATTGGTGAGTGCTGTGCGCAGGAAGCGCTGAAATGACTCGAGTTATACGCAAATTGATTATGTGCACATGTGGCAAATATGGAAGTTATTGTTTACTTGTGTGTGTCTGATTTCATGACATTGTCAGTTGTATGCAGCGTCAGGTGTATGTGTATCTTAAAGGTAAAGGTAAAGGTTCCCTTGCTCGAAAGCCAGTCGAGTCCCACTCTAGGGTTGCGGTGCTCATCTCCGTTTCCAAGCCAAAGAGCCAGCGCTGTCCGAAGACGTTTCTGTGGTCATGTGGCCGGCATGACTAAACACCAAGGCGCATGGAACGCTGTTACCTTCCCACCAAAGTGGTACCTATTTATCTACTTGCAATTTCTTGCTTTCAAACTGCTAGGTTGGCAGGAGCTGGAACTAGAGACGGGAGCTCACTCCGTCATGCGGCAACTCGGGTCTCAAACTGCTGAACTACTGACCTTCCACAGCCTGCAGTTCAGCGTCTTAACCACTTGAGCTTATATACCCACAATTTGGCCAGAGAATGTGGAATCCCTAGACACAAAATTCAGCACCACTGGCTTCTTGGCTGCTCATGCATGTATTTGTGTGTGTGTTTGTGTGATTAGAAAGCTCCCAGCCTTTAAGACAGTGACGAAAATATGTAAAATGACTGTAGCTAATGAAGGGCTTTCAGGGCCACCTCCTCTGAAATTGTTTCCCAACCCAGACTCCTAAATTCCCCTAATCATGTTCCATTCCCTTCCTTTCTTCTATTACCCAGTGCCATGCACAAACATCCAAATTCTTTGAAAACCTGCATCGCCGAAGCAGAATATACAATAATCCTGTGAATTTGCTTAGTATGCATGATTTATTCTGCTTCCTAGATTGTACATTTTGCAGAACACATTTCAGGACCAGAAACAAACAAACAAACCTTGCAATACAACCCTGAAAAAGAGTAACTCCTTCTTAAGCCCAGAATGACTTCAATGGACTCAGAATGGGGTAGAACAAAGTGGCAACTTTAAGACTAACAAAGTTTAATTCTGGGTATAAGCTTTTGTGTACATGAATACTTCATCAGATAGAATGGGGTAATTATGTTTACGACTGCCCCGTGATTTGCTGAATGTACCTAACCAGAACAATGAGAAGTGTTATTGGAAGTAGTTCTGGAGGAATGTTGGCAAGAACCCTGTAGACAATCACAGAGCAAAGGTGAGTCATCTAGAAGAAGAGAAGAGATTGGATTTATACCCCACCCTTCACTACCTGAAGAAGTCTCAGCGTGGTTTACAATCCCTTTCCCTTCCTCTCCTCTCCCCTCCCCACAACAGACACCCTGTGACGTAGGTGGGGCTGAGAGAGCTCTCTCGAGAACTGCTCTTGAGAGAACAGCTCTGAGAGAACTTGTGACTGACCCAAGGTAACACCAGCAACTGCATGTGGAGGAGTGGGGAATCAAACCCAGTTCTCCCAGATTAGAGTCCACACTCCTAACCACTGCACCAAACTGACTCCCTAAAATAAAGCAGTCAAGGAACTGCAGTCCCAGCTAAGAACTGGTTCTCACAGATGAGGGGGAACACCTGTGTAGACTGTACCAGTTCCTCTGGAGAAAATGGCTGCATTGGAGGGTGGGCTCTATGGCATTATATCCTGCTCCTTCCCCAAACCCTGCCCTACCCAAGCTCCACCCCACCAAAAATCCAGGAATTTCCCAAGCCAGAGTTGGCAACCATATATAGACATACAAAATAAAATTCTGCACAGAGGAAGCAAGGTGCCAAGAAGTGTTTAAGTCTAGTAGCTGAATTGTCTTTCCAGGGGTCCTTGCGGCATTTCCTCATTCAGCATGTTTGCTCCTGGGATGTTGCTATCCGGCTAGGATCATCCCTCGCCAAAGGCCTTGCTTTCTTACATGGGGAGCAGTGGAAGGAAGGTACGTTACAAGTGGGTCCACGGATGCCTCTTTCCCCACACTCTCTGCTAGATTATGTTCACCCATTTAAGTGTCCTCCCCGCTTTTTGGTATTTGGTGTGTGTGTGTGTGTGTGTGTGTGTGTGTGTGTGTGTGTGTGTGTGTGTGTGTGCATGCCTGGATGTCATGGTGACTTCTGGCGACCCCAAGTGGGGCTAGGACTTTTCAGAGAGGTGGCTTGATATTGTCTACTTCTGCATCCCAGCCCTGGTATTCCTTGGAGGTCTCCCTTCCAAGAACTTGCCAGGGTCGGCCCTGCTTAGCTTCCAAGTTCTGACAAGATCGGGCTTGCCTGGGCTATCCAGGTCAGGGCTAAGTGTCCCCTTTATGCCCTTGACCAAGCAGTCTTTGGGGGAAGGGATACCACCTCTTGCCTGGGAAATTCCTGGAGACTGGAGAATAGTGCTTCTGGAGGCAGGGACTTCACCTAGAATCTGTGGCATACCATAGAGCCTGATTTCTAAAGCTGCTGTTTTCTCCAGGGGCACCGATCTGTAATCTGTAGATCTCACACCCATTGTCATCAGCTCTGATGGGCAGCGACTCTCTGAGATCTCAAGCGGTGTTTTCCCACAGCCCTGCTAACAAAGATCTTCTAAAGTGGAGATGCTACGCAGGGCCAGTTACGGGGGGTGTTCAGGGGCTCCCTCACCTCCTCTGACCGCCTACAGGCCCCCAGCTCATTCCTTCCTTGCAGCCCACCTCTACTCCTCCCCATCTGCCTAGATGTCCTCCTTCAGCTTGTTCCTGAGCCTTCCCATGACCTTTCTCCAATCGGTACTGAGTGCAGATGGGAACACCACGACTATGCCCACCAGGAGTGCTGTCACTCCTGCATGCGAGTGGGGGACTCCGTGACTAGGGTTGCCAGGTCTGGGTTGGAAAATACCTGGAGACTTTGGGGGTGGGTCCAGGAGAGGGTGGGGTTTGGGGAGGGGAGGAGCCTCAGCATGGTACAATGCCATAGAGTCCACCCTTCAAAGCAGCCATTTTCTCCAGGAGAGCTGATCTCTGTCAGCTGGAGATCAGTGACAAAAGCGGGAGATCCCCAGGCCCCACCTGGAGGCTGGCAACCCTGTCAGTGACAGTGGGTGCGCCCAGAAACCCTGGGCCCCAGCAACTGTCCCACCTCAGGGTACACTGATACCAGTCCTGATGCTAAGGCCCTTCAGCATACGAGCCAGTTTGGTATAGTGGTTAAGTGTGCGGACTCTAATCTGGGAGAACCGGGTTTGATTCCCCACTCCTCCACTTGCACCTGCTGATGTGACCTTGGGTCAGTCAGAAGCTCTGGCACAGCTGTTCTTGAAAAAGAGCAGTTTCTGTCAGAGCTCTCAGCCCCACCCACCTCACAGGGTGTCTGTTGTGGGGAGGGGAAGAGAAAGGAGTTTGTAAGCCGCTCTGAGACTCCAAGTGAAGGGCGGGGTATAAATCCAATCTCTTCTTCCCTCTTCTTCTTCTCTTCCTTCTGTTTGGTGCCAGGTCTGCACAAACCCGGGGTTGCACACCGAGACCTGAGCAGCCAGAATGTGCTGGTTCAGGAGGACAGGACTTGTGTCATCAGTGATTTTGGCCTTGCCATGACTTTGCCTATGGGCCACGAGGGATGGAGAGGGCCCCCCGCAGAAGGCGTCGTCCGCAAGGTACCTGCATCATGATCAGGTCGAGTGAAATGGTTGGAGACGAGTAACTCTGGGTTTGTTCATGGTCAGAATAAGTGCACAGCAATGTCCTTGCGCTACCAAGTTTGCAGCGGGGTGTACCACCAGTCACAGCTGGCCCGACAATACTACTGTGCCATTTCTTTCACTGCTAGGAGCAGAACTAGCTTCTCGTATCAGGCAGGTAATGATGTGTTTCCCACGATCCTTGCCCCTCCTCTGCCCATCTCCAGGCCTCTGCTTGCACTTCCCTTTCCACCCACCTACACATTCCCCAGGCCTCCTGGTCTCAAGCCCTGCCACCACCTGCCCTTTCACTGACACTGTGGGTGGGTGCATGTAGCTGGGAGTGCTGTTTAATGGCCACCAGAAGTGCCACCTCCACTGTGTACCACCTGCATGCCCTTCCTTGGTGGCTCAGGGCAGCCTATTCAGCCAAGAGCACAGAGGACACTGGAGGAGGGCTTATGAGTGGAGGATAAGGGTTGCCAACCCCAGGTGGCACCTGGAGATCTCCTGCTATTCCACTTGATGTCCAGACAACCAAGATCAGTTCCCCTGGAGGAAGTGGCTGCTTTGGAGGGTGGGCAGTGGACTCTGTGGCAGTATACACTACTGAGGGGTCCCCAAACCCTTCCCTCTCCAGACTCCACCCACAAACGTCTCCAGGTATTTCCCGACCCAGAGCTGGCAACCCTAGTGGAGGGGGAAGGGCATGTGGGTGGGTGGCAGGGGAGGAATATGGGCCAGGCGGTCGTCAGTGGCTGCAGGCTCTGGTAGACCTCTTGGACTCTGAGAGCTGCTCCACCTCTGATGGCCAGTGCCTGCATTCTCAGGGGCCACAATGACCTCTAGGTAGTCTCTGGTGAGCAGAAAGTGTATTCTGATACACAAATTAATCTCTTCATTCAAGGCTGGCGCTGATATAAAAGTGGTGTCAATAACAGCTTCAGAATTATGACGTGCTAGCATAGCATTGCATATAGTTCTGTGTGCTTACGTATGTTATATCAAATAACAAATGATGGGCGTCCAGTGTGGATTAAAAATGGCTGTCGATGATATGTTTCTGAGAATGTACAGTAATCTCTAGGTTTGTGAAAAAATTATAACATGTTATAGAAATAATACGGGGGTTTAAATCACTTCCCAAGTCATTCCCAAGTAACATCTGCACATTGGAAGACACCTCATGAACAAAACCATGCCAAAACAGGGGCAAAACAGGTCAGAACAGCTGGAGGGGGGTAGGGAACCAGTTGACTGGGCAAGTTGGCATTGGGGAGGGAGGGAATTGGTGGGCTGGGGAAGAGGAGGGAAATGGATAATTGGGTGGATAAGGGAGAAGGAAAGGAGGAAATTGAGGGATTAGGCAGAGTAAGAGGGGAGAAAGTAGGGGCCAGGATTTCCCCTCTGAAAAGTACTGGGTTCGCTGCATGGAGGACTCGGACGATGACATGCATATGCACACATTTATTGTACTTAACATCAGACTAACTAACGGCCTGACAAGGCCAACTATATACATACCCACCTAGCACCCCCTAGTCCCATTGGAGGGTTTGAATTTCCCACCAAAGTGGCTATTGGTTGGTGCTGGGGGAACTAGGATCCTAGGTTCCTGTTGTTCAGGGGAGCCAAGCTCCTGACTGTGCCGTGGACCCCTGGTGGCGGTCCGCGTACATAACACCCTCCCTCCACGAACCCCCCCTTAAAATACATAAAATTCAAGAGAGATGCAGTATCAAAAGATGAAATATCTCTATTTCTTACAATTTGAAAACACTGTTCTTTTTCAAGTGAACACCCTTGACCCTACCTAGATGAAAACTCAGTCAGGCCCAGATAAAATCACCTCATAGGCTCCCTCCAAAGTGCTAGCTCTGGCTCAGAGCTGGCTGAGTGCTCAAGAAAGGGGCTCCTTGTCCCCTTTCATGGCTTAGGAAAGAAGAGGGGGAAATAGGACAATGTCCTTAATTTATTTAGGCAACAAAATTTTTGCAATTTATTTTGTTTATATGTTGTCCTCTCTTTAAGAAGCTCAGGGCAGCATGTGTGAAGCTTGCTGTGTTTTTCCCCTCACAACCTCCCCATGAGGTAGGCTACTTTGAGAGAAACTGACAGGCCCAAACCACCTTTGATGCCAAGCAAGAATTTGAACCTGGGCTTCTTCCGTGTGAGAATAGTATTTAGGGTTGGCTTGACAAATTATTAGATATTTGGGGGAGGGGTGCTTGTGGAGGGGGAATTAAGGGATATATTTGTTTATTTATATTTATTTAATTCATTTGTACCCTGCCTTTCTCCTCAATAGTGGCTTATATCATTCTCCTCTCCTCCACTTTATCCTCACATCAATCCTGTGAGGTAGGTTAGGCTGAGAGAGGGTGAATGACCCAAGGTATCCTAGCAAGCTTCTATGGCAGAGTGGGGATTTGAACCCAGGTCTCCCAGATTCTAGTCCAACAGTCTTAACCACTACACCACACTAGAATCTATGGTATACCACAGATTTTGGGGCTGCCGTTTCCTCTAGGGGGACTGCCGTTTCCTCTAGGGGGAGCAGGAAAATTGCATATCTAATTTGTGTCATTCACATTCTTCCTAGGCCGGGGCCCCACGCTACACTGCTCCCGAGATTCTGGATGAGAGCTTGAATCTGCAGGACTTGGGCTCAGCACTGAAGCAGGCTGATGTCTACTCCATGGCCCTGGTGCTGTGGGAAACCCTGACGAGATGCTCCATCCTCTTCCCAGGTGAGCAAGGAAGAGAGGGCAAGAGGGAGAGGGCGGGTCACCTGAATCTCTAATATCAGCGCCCCCACCCTTCACCCCTGCCTTGCCTTGGGAAGGGGCGAGGCATATATTACATCTGCCACAAATTACATCTCACACTTGGATGTTGTTGTGAGCCTGCATGGAGTAACCAAGGAAGGGGTTAACTGACAGAGAAATTCCTCACCACCAAAGCACAACATGAGATCCTTCAACTCTGAGTCCAGTGGAGCAGCTCCCTTATACTGAATGCCATCATAATCACCCTATAGCGACGATTGCTGAGATTCATCGGAATGGTTACAAATTACAATACAGAAAGTTTATTGATGGCTCTTTTAAAATATTTCCCAACCCCACGTGTATGGGTAGACTTTCCACATGCCCACTGGGGAACGCAAGATGTCCTGCTGGCAGCTCCCATTGTCCCCCGGCACTCTGGCAGCTGGCATGAAGAAAAAAAATCTCTGTTGGGTGATGACATGACATTACTTCTGGGGGAAAACCAGAAATGGTATTGCATCACTCTAGGAATCACTGGAAACTCAATGGTTTTACCACAGAGTTTCCTGCAATTCCTTGAGAGGTGTGACTTCACTACCGGGCTTTCTGAGTGCCTCCCCCGTCCTCTCCTGCAGACTGCCACTGGTTGCCAGCCACTGGCTGGCAAACCTATGTATGGGAGTGAGGCAAATTGGGATTGGAGAATGCACCACTCATGACATGTATTCCCCAGCCTAATTTCACATGCACAACCCTCCAGGCTATTATAAGTGAGCCTCAAGTACACTAATTTCCCCTCCTCTGTGTTTTCCTTTTTCCCCTCTGTAACTGCAGTTAAGCTGCCGTTGACATGTCATGCCACCTAGAGGGCAAAGACCAAGCTCAGTCCAGTTGTCCTGTCTGTTGTGCTTTTAATATTTACAAATCCATATTTTGCTACAAACCTGGGGACTCCCCAAGTATGTAGAAGCACCCACCTTTCCTTGCAATATAAAAAAGCAAAGGACCATCAGGTAAGGTGTTTTCCACATGGAGATGGCCTGGCGTAGCTGCCCCTTTGCTGCTGCAGGTGCAGGTAAAGGGCAGCAGCAAAAGGGCGACCCTGTGGAAAGGTCTCCCATGGTTTCCCTGCCCCAGTTCCCAATGGCAGCCATTCCCCCATACCACCAGGGGACTTTAAAAAACAAAAAACAAATCTGCAATAGGCATATTGCTATCATATATCTAAATCTGGACTGGGACATAGAGTGTGGATCAAAAAATCCATGGAATGGAGCCAGAGATTGGCTGGGAACATACCTCTACAAATCTGAGGGAAGTCCCAGGCTGCAGAAAAATTTGCTTAACCCCCCCCCCCCCAAACATTAAGAGACTGAAAGAGACATGGAAGGGGCGTGATATTGCCAACATTGCCACATCACAAGTTTCTCGCCCTTGAGGTTGCCCTGAGTAAAAAGGTAAAGGTAAAGGTTCCCTTGCTCGAAAGCCAGTCGAATCCGACTCTAGGGTTGCGGTGCTCATCGCCGTTTCCAAGCCGAAGAGCCAGCGCTGTCGGAAGACGTTTCCGTGGTCTTTTGGCCGGCATGACTAAACACCAAGGCACACGGAACGCTGTTACCTTCCCACCAAAGTGGTCCCTATTTATCTACTTGCAATTTCTTGCTTTCGAACTGCTAGGTTGGCAGGAGCTGGAACTAGAGACGGGAGCTCCCTCCGTCATGCGGCACCCGGGTCTCGAACTGCTGAACTACTGACCTTCCACAGCCTGCAGTTCAGCGTCTTAACCACTTGAGCCACCGCAGCTCCTGAGTGCCTTGTAGGAAAAACCAGATCAAAGTATAATAAATATGAGCAAATGTGTAGTTTATGCCAGAGTGCTCGTGTTTCATAAAAGGAACACCCCTTGCTCCAAAAGAGAACAGACAATTTCCTGTCTTTTGCAGAGAATGCCCTGGTTCACTTGTTAAAAGTCTGCCAATCTCCAGGTAGGGCCTGCAGTCCTCCCAGAATTTCGACTGATTTCTAGTCTAGATAACAGAGATCAGTTTCCTTGGAGGTCAGCACTGGAGAGCAGACTCTATGGCATCCCGCATCCCATCCCCACAATCCGCATTCCCCAGGTACAATCTCCAAATGTCCAGGAATTTTTCCAGCCAGGGTTGGTAACCCTGAAGTTCTACTTGAGATCTTAATAGTACAGATAAAAATACTACCGTTCTTGAAATGGTGGTGATGGTGGGGATTAGATTGCCACCTGGTGGGAGTTTAGGAGATACGCTGTTGATGGAAAAACAAATCAAATAGTAAAGTGTGCCCTCGAGTTGACCCTATGAACTCCCCCCCTAGGGTTGCCAACTCTGGGTTGGAAAATACCTGGAAGTTTGGGGGGGGTGTAGGCTGGGGAGGTGAGGGGAACTCAGCCGTTATAATTCTAAAGAGCCCGCCTGCCAAAGCTTCCATTTTCTCCAGGGGAACAGATCTGTGTCGTCTGGAGATCAATTGTAATACCAAGAGACCTCCAGCTCCCACCTGGAGGTTGGCAGCACTATGACACACACTGATTTTTTTTTTAAAAGAACCTCTGTGCATAATTTGTTGTGTATAATTGATTACTGCAGTTCACTCTATCTAGGCTTACCCTTGAGTCTGATCAGAATTTATAGCTGGTGCAAAATGCAGTGGTGCGCCTGCTGACAGTGATTCCTGTATGGGCTCACATTCGGCAGGTGCTCCGCCAACTGCACTGGCTACTAGTTGAGTTCTGGATTAGGTTCAAGGTGCTGCTAATAACCTTCATAGCCTTACACAGCTTGGGACCAACATATCTGAGGGACCACCTCTTCCCGTATATGCTCCGAAGAGTGTTACGCTCTATGGAGCAACATCTCCTTGGGATCCTTGGCCTGAAAGACATCCATCTTGCCTTGACTTGGGCCAGGGCTTTCTCTGCCTGGCGGTACATACTCCACATTGAGATCAGGGCCTTACAGGACCATCTTCAATTCCTCAGGGCCTGTAAGATGGAGCTGTTCCACCAGGCCTTTGGCTGAGGCAGCAGCCGTCTATGTATGGCCTCCCTGAGGTTTGTATCACCCATCCAATAACTGCTGGCTATCATTCATCTGTTACCAACAAGCCAGGGAACCTCTCGCAACCAGCCAGTCTCTGTCCTGGGGTTGTGACCACCATTTTAATATACATTACGATGTTTTAACAATTTTTAATTATATTTATTATCAGGGCTTTTTTTGTAGAAAAAGCCCAGCAGGAACTCATTAGCATAATATGCCACACCCAACAGCAGAAACTCATTAGCATATTATGCCACACCCCTGACAGAGCAGCTTATTAGCATATTAGGCCACACCTCCATGTTACCAGAACTGTGGTCATCCAACCACACCCACCTTTTGCTTCTTATTCTGTTTACCTTGTTTGTTGTCAAAACCAAGGGCTTTTTTTGTAGCAGGAACCCCTTTGCATGTTAGGCCACACCCCCTAATGTAGCCAATCCTAAGGGGTTTCTGCTGTTGGGTGTGGCCTATTATGCTAATGAGTTCCTCCTGGGCGTGGCCAACTCAGGAGCCAGCCGGAACGCCGTTCCTGTGCGTTCCTGCCCAAAAATAGCCCTGTTTATTATATTAATGAAATTTTGTTACCTGCCCTGAGCCCGCTTGCGGGAAGGGTGGGCTATAAATATGAAAAAAATAAATAACACAGACATCATTATGAATGGAGTTTTCATATATTTCAGTAAGGCAAAGTTATGTCTGAGCGATTGTCCATCAGTCTTGCCCTCAGTTTTCAATGGGAGCCAGTTAAATGTATTTGCTTAAAACCTTAGATCAGGAGTCCCCAACATTTCTGATCCCGTGGGATGTCTGGAATTCTGACACAAGGTGCTGAGCACAATCACAAAATGGCTGCGCTAGGAAGTGGAAACACACACACCCAAGATGCCCGTGTGCTGGGAAACATGGTGGGGGGGGGTTAAAAATACACTGGGAAAGAGGTGAGAAAGAGTAAAATAACACTATGGTGGTGGCTAGCACTGAAACAATGTTATTTTAATTTGCGTAGCCAATCAGATCTTTTGTGGCAAATCATAAGCCCTGCTGGGCAAGAGCCCCAATTGGCCCCACCCACTTTCTAAAAACACTTGAGGGGCACCAAGAAAGGTGTTGGTGGGCATCATGGTGTCCATGCAGGCAGGACGTTGGAGGGGGGACCGCTGCTTTAGGTCATCATAAAATCATGTACAAAATGTTCAATGGTAATGTTAGAACCTATGAGATACTCAGGATTAACTAGTTTCAATTCATTTATTAGCTTATTTTAAATGAGCTCATATTTGCTCGTTTATACATCATGAGCCTCTAAAAATACACATACCAAGCTTCTTACGGGGAGCTTAAATGAGGTGGTCACCTCTACAAGAAACAGCTGTCGGCTGGAGTATACTAAGTTCTGATTTGTTCCAACTGCTGTTGAGTAGCAGCATGGTGCAGCCATTTGAGGTTGGGCTAGAAATGAGGAAACCCAGAGGTCATTTCAGGGGGATCGCGGGGGCCCGGGTGAGGTACGGGGGGCGGGGCACATGACGAAGCCCCGCCCCCTGCTTCCGGCCGCCCCACTTCCAGCCCTCATTCAGCCAGGAGGAGGCAGGAGAAGAGGGAGGGTAAGTTGCTTCCTCCCTGCCTCTCCCCACCCCTGCCTGCCTGGGGCCAGGGAGGGCCTTTGCGGGGCTTCCTTGCACTCCCGCCGGCCTTGCAGGTCCACCACCAGGCCCCTCATGGGGCTCGGCAGTGGAGCTGCAAGGCCGGCAGCGGCGGCCCGGTCCGTTGGGGGCGGGGTGTGTGGCCTTATGACACACTTCCGGTGATGTCAGGGGGTGTGGCATATGCTAAGGAGTTATGCTAATGAGTTCCCCTAGCTCTTTTTCTACGAAACGACCCCTGAGGAAACCCAAATACTCCATCTTTTGGCCAACACCATTCTCTTTCTCTCACAGTCTAAGTGTGTCAATTGGTTGTCCTAAGGAATAAAATGGAGGAAAGGAGAACAAATATGCCCCTTGGAGGAGGGGTGGGATAAAAATGCTATAAATAAGGGCACGTGTTTCTCCAAAGCAAACAGAAAGCAATTCATCTTTTCAAAATCCACTTGCTTAGTAAGTGATCTCTCTAGCAAATCTCTCTCAAGGAGTCTATGTAGGGAACATTATAAGATATAGTGAGCTAAATTCTCTGGTGTCTCTTGATCACATACACATAGTTGTCAGTCTACTAAGACTTTTTGTATTTGCCATTGAAATAAGTTGAGGGCATTGTCTGAATTCATTAAGTACATCCTTTGTGAGCAGCATGTAAGATCTTTAAAATATCCTTGTTATGATCCATGTTGGAAAAGAACGGTATCAGTGAGAGATTGTGAGTCTCAAGCATAGATTCCCCCCACACACACACACACTATCTCTGGGTCTGCTATAGCCATGCAGATTATAATGTTGAAGAAGGCTTTCCTGACACTTTTAACCCAGCTTTTCTCAGCAGCCTCCTCCAGCAGACATTGGGTACTGATTCTCTGCTTTCTCTTTGTAACTTGAACTGGTACAATAGGCCGCTCCATGCCCCTCTTCGCTTAATGGAAGGGAGACCAGGCCGCTTCCTGTATTAACAGTGTAGCAGATAAGCCAGGCAGAGCAGGTTTTATATTTTCTCTAAGGGGTTAATGTCAATCAAACTACATGTTGTTCCATATTTTGAGCGATCTTCTTGCTAACATAGATGTTAGTTGTGGAGATCACTAGCTAACCTCTTCCGTCCTGAGAAAAAAATCCGAACAGCCAGAGAGGTAACAAATGCCATTGCAATATTGTTCCCTTTTAAGAAGAGACGTTCACTTAAAACTTTCAGAGAAATGGAGAGCCTGCTTAACTCAAATCATTCAGTAATGGCCCAGGGTCATCTGATGAAATTCATGGCTGAGTAGGAATTTGTACATGCGTGTCCTCAGCTACTTATTATGCCCCAGAATGAATCAGAGGAGGACTAATCCAACAATCCCCAATGGGTTTCTAAGCACCTGCTTACTTCTTCTCCAGAACATCTCTTCTTCAAAGCAAATAACAAAACGTGACTATCTTCCACCTCACTGGAATGGGAAATTCTTCAGAAAACCCCAGGAGCAGTGTTTCCTCTAAGCTGAGTTGGTGTGAGCTAGCTCATAGTGTTTAAGCCTCCAGCTCACACGTTTTTGTTTTCCCCCGGAAAAAGGATGGCTGGCTCCAGAGCAAACTAATTGATGCAGTAGCCAGATCCCTCGCTCACAACTTTCATGCCAGTCGCTCACAAAGGAGAATTTTTGCTCACAAGACTCCAGAGCTTAGAGGGAACATTGCCCAGGAGGTATCACTTATATCACTTATATGGGTCTTCAGGGAATGCCCACTCACAAATAGCTGCCCCCAAGATAGGAGGATGCCTTGCTTGGGACCTCCCAACCTTTTGTAATTATACCCCTTGGCAGCCATTTTGTTACTGGTCCCTCTACCATGGCAGCCATTTTGTGGTGCTGTCCATTACTCTTGCTCAAAAAACTGGCCATAGAATTCCCGAGGTTGGGGACTCCATAATTCATCAGATTAAAAATTGGAAAAATTAAAGGCTCTTGGAGGGCTATGTTGGTAAAAACCTTTCCTGACCTACTTCCTCCACTGCAGTAGGGTTCTCTTCCCCCATCCAGTTCCTGTAGCTCCTGTCTCTCTCCTGTCTGAGTCCATCATCTACCATTTCCTTGCCCAGCAATACCGCAGGCAGGGGTCATTTTGTAGAAAAAGAGGTGCAGGGGCTCATTAGCATAACTCTTATTTGCATATGCCACACCCCCTGACATGACTGGAACTGTGTCGGAAGGCAACACCCACCACTCAGGCTCTGCTGGACTGTTTTGGATTGCTAGCTATTGGGGGGGGGGGGGGGGGGCGGAGCTCTTCCCGCCCGGGGGGGGGGAGACGTGCAGATCTGTCCTCGCAGAGGAGGGAGAGCTTGTAGCTGAATAAAACTTGGTCTTAAAGGTGCCACTGGACTACTTTGGGCCAGGGGGCTGGGGGGGGGGGCGCTCTGCAACTTACCTGGCTGCTTCTTGCTCCAACAGAGGGCTGCTGGGAGGGCACTGACAGAGGGCTGCTCTGACTTACCAGGCTGCATCTCTCGAATCTCCAGGAGTTTCTCAACCCGGAGCTGGCAATCCTAGTCAATGAGCTACTTCATATGCTTCCCACATGGAGGCCAAAGATCACTTCTGCTTCGCCTCACTCATCGGTGTGACAGCTGTCATATCTAAAAGCCACTCCATCCATGGTTTAATTTAACCACATGTATTCCCCACCACCTGCGGTGCTGGGATACACATTCCTCACAGTGTTCAGACTGAGCACATCGAAAGCAGCTTTCAGACACAATGCCTGCTGTATGGAAGTAATTTAGCAGCCTCCATGTGGGGGTGTAAATGTTGAAACAGGCCCTATTTTACAGCATTGCCGTATACATTGAATGGATGTGTAGGTATGCCAACTCTAGGTTGGGAAACTCCTGGAGATTTGGGGGTGGTGCCTCGGGAAGGAACTCAGCAGGGATTTGATACCCTAGAGTCCACCCACCAAAGCTTCAAGTGAACTGATCTGCAGGCCCCACCTGATTGCTGAGAAGTCTGTCAGGACATGCGAGTCACAAGAATTCTGTTTCTCTAACTTCACTTATTTCTACCTCTTCAGAAAGTGGCACCCCTGATTTCCAGCTAGCCTATGACGCAGAGTTGGGCAGCAGCCCTACGTACAGCGAACTGAGGAGGCTGGCTGCTGAGGAAAGAGGAAGGCCGGCTATTCCACCTGCTTGGAGAAGAATGGGACAGGTAAACAAGAATCTGGAAAAGGACGGCTGCAGAGAACGGGAAGAAATGTTCTGCCATCCCAAGGGGTGGTATTCAGAACTCACAGCCATTAGACATTTGACATGGGAAAAAATGAACCTGATTTTCATGGCTTAAAGCAAAACTGACAAAGCACATAAAACGTTTGATTAGTCTGCCTGCCGACATGCCCACACCCAGCTATGTCAGTCTCTTGTGGCACAATGAAGGCCTAAAAACACCAGGGGGGAAAACCTTAGTGGAGGTTGGGAACCCTTAGCCTACTGCTAAAACTGACTGGGTGCCACTGCGTTCATGGAGGTCAGCTAGGGTTACCAACCTCCAGTTGGTCTGCAAGCAACTAAGTAACACCATGCACAAAACATGCACTGAATATTCATTAGAATATACTGGTCCAATATCATATAGCATGTGAAATTTCAAACAATATCAAGTTTCACAAACAATTACTCAAAGGTACAAGATTTTCACAAGGAAAGAACCAATTATCAATGGACCCAATGCTCAAGATAAATTACTCTGGAAAGCAGCAGGAACGCAGTCTATTCTCTCTTTAGTCAAATAGGTTCCATTGATAATCTGAGACCTGGAAGAAGGCTATGAAACATGCAGGAAACGCATGTTGTCGCTGATTGCATCTCTGTTATCTGTTGAAGTGTTATCATTGGACTGCACTGTCCGTGTTTGTATATTGGGAGTAATAAAAGAAGATTTTGACTGCTTTTGCAAACTTTGGAATAAGTGTGATCGTTTAGGACTATGGATCTTTCCTTGTGAAAATCTTGTATCTTTGAGTAATTTTTTGTGAAACTTGATTTTTTAAAAAATTGCATATGCTATATGATATTGGAACAGTATGTTCTAATAATTAATATCCTGTGAATGTTTTGTCTATGGTGTTGCTTTGTTGCTTGCAATCTCTCTACACCGTGTTTTCCCTGTTTGGTTTGTAACCTCCAGTTGGTGGCTGGAGATCTCCCACTATAACAACTGATCCCCTGGCAACAGAGATTGGTTTCCCTGGAGGAAATGGCTGCTGTGGAAGGTGGACTCTATGGCATTATACCCCACTAAAGTCCTTCCCCTCCCTAAACCCCACCCTCCTCAGGCTCCACCCCCCCAAGTCTCCAGGTATTTTCCAACCTGGAGCTGGCAACCTTAGGGTCAGCATTCTGTGTATTTGAGGTCATCGATTCTCAGCATAGATCCTGGCATCTGCAGTGGCACTTTCCACCCCTATGAATTGTTCCTTGACAGTTTTTTCTGGTCTTTCCCTTAGGTTTCTGTCGACCTTCAAGAGCTTCTGGAGGACTGCTGGGACCCAGATCCAGAAGCTCGCTTGCAAGCTGATTGTGCCCAACAGAGGCTGGAGAGGCTGGGTGCTGCAGATGTGGCGAAAGAGTGCTGTTGAACCCCAAGTATTATCATACCGTACATTTTGCTTGCCTGGACATCAGTGGGAAGGATGTGTGTCTTAGTCCTGTGCATCCTATGTGCCTCTGCCCACTTAATCAACTTGAAGTAATACTGAGTATAAACCACTGCTAGGGATATATATTCCAATGCAGCTGATGAAGTCAGCTCTGACTCCCAAAAGCTTAAGCTGGAATAAATTTTGTTTGCCACCAGGTTCCTGTTTTGTTGTGCATGCTCTCTTCCACTAATGGATCCTTGCTGGCACCTTCCCTCTTTGCCCCCTCTAGCATTTCTTAGTCTTTTCATTGCTTCTGGAACCTCTTCTTGGAAACACAATTCTAAAAAAATGTTTAAAAGTTAATGAGGAGCACTTGGGGGGGCATGATGTCGCTTGCGTGTTCCTTGGCCAGCTCACCCCGCAGTGCCCCAGTCTCTGATCCAGTGAAGAATGTTAAAAGATGGTTGCTTCAAGGCCATCATTCAGCACTAGGAACCAAAAGCAAGACTCAAAAAAGAACTGAGGAAGTTGGTGACATGTCTAAAGTTTGGAAACTGCTTTAAAGTTGAGGTAAGTCCATAGTGCATGAAAATAATATTGTTTCAACGAATCCCGTGTGATTCTCCTTCGTTTCCCTCTTGAGAGTTCCAGCACCTCTTTTTCTTGAAAAAAAGCCCTTCAATGGGGTATAATGTTGTAGAGTCTGCCTTCCAAAGAGGTCATTTTCTCCAAGTGAACTGATCTCTGGTCCCGATCAGACGGGTCTTTACATCCGCCCCAGGCACGGATGCCTGATGGATTTAAAGGGAATGATCAGACAGCGACATCCGGGAAAGGTGCCGCTTCCATGACAAGCACGTTTAGCCTCGCCAGGGAGCCGTACTTAAAAGATACTGGTGAAAATCCGGTACTTTTGATTGCCGAAGGGGCCAATGGTGGACTTTCTCCATCTGATTTTTCCAGTGTGCATTCAACCTGTCGGGATGGTCTGCTCCAAACCATCCTGAACAGCCGCCATTTAAAAAAAAATCTTAGTGATATGCGCATAAACATGTAAATGCACGACAGCCGCAGAGCTCCACTCAAATGTTCCGGACAATTTCATGTTTCTGAATGGCCCGTGAACTGCATTAATTGAAATGGTACCTAGAGGGAGGTACTACTGGCGGTGCTTTAACCATTCTATTCCACGCATGGATGGAAAAACAAGTACACGTTGAGGCACAGATGCGCATGCACAAACAGAATTTTTTTAAAAACCTGAACGTGTGGCTCCTTCAGGTGGACGCCGTCTAGACAATCCACTGCAGAGTACTTGCGCGGTAAGAGAAGCTCTCTGGTCGTGCAAGGCTGGATAAAACTGATCTGGATCAAATGAGAGCCGGGCCAATGGCGGGATTAGCTGCCCATCTGAACGCATCCTCTGTCCCCCTGGAGGTCAGTTGTCATTGCAGATCTTCAATGCAACCAAGGGCACAGCAATCAGAAAGCACCAAAATAAAGGAATTGCTGCAGTTAGTTCACAAATTTACAGGAAAATGACAGAAATTTTCATGATGTTTAAATCCCAAAATTCTTCTTTTAATCAACAGGTCAGAAGATGATGACGAACATCTCGAGTTTCCAGAGTTCGTTTCGAGGTCTTTATCAAAATTGGCCCAAAATCACCCTGCAAACTTCCACCGTGGAGGGGAGATTCTAACCTGGGTCGCTTAGATCCTGTTCTAATATTCGAACAACTACACCATGCTGGTTGTTTTGAGGCCTAGTATCTAGGTTCATCTTCTTGGGAATGAGAAACCTGGCTCTCCAAATTCTTGGGCTCCTAATCCAATTGCTGATGAGCATAGCAGCATTGCCGGGGGGGGGGGGATCAGGCAAAAAAAAACCCGATCTCTGCCTCAAATGGCTGATGAATGCAGTTGCTGCTTTCTGAAGAGGGCTTTGTGCATATCGCCCAGGCAAGCTGGGTGATCAAGAGGAGCTCTGTATGTGCAATCCATTCATGGCTCCTCATCCAGTGGGGGAGATGAACAGTGAAGTCGGCTTCCCCATGTCCGTGAAGGGGGGGGGGGGGGAATCAGGCAAAAAAAACCCCGATCTCTGCCTCAAATGGCTGATGAATGCAGTTGCTGCTTTCTGAAGAGGGCTTTGTGCATATCGCCCAGGCAAGCTGGGTGATCAAGAGGAGCTCTGTATGTGCAATCCATTCATGGCTCCTCATCCAGTGGGGGAGATGAACAGTGAAGTTGGCTTCCCCATGTCCGTGATCTCTTGCTGGATCAACAGTGCTGATATTTTGCCTGCCTTTAATTTTGAAAGGTATTGACCCTTCCCTGAACACATCTCTACAACCATAGAGGCTACATCCTTGCTTTTGAAATAATTTTGGGGATTTTTAATTATATTGGGGTGTTGATGTTTCTTGCAGTCATGTGGAATATTAGTAAAGGTAAAGGTTCCCTTGCTCGAAAGCCAGTCGAATCCGACTCTAGGGTTGCGGTGCTCATCTCCGTTTCAAAGCCGAAGAGCCAGCGCTGTCCGAAGAAGTTTCCATGGTCATGTGGCAGGCATGACTAAACACCAAGGCGCACGGAATGCTGTTACCTTCCCACCGAAGTGGTACCTATTTATCTACTTGCAATTTCTTGCTTTCGAACTGCTAGGTTGGCAGGAGCTGGAACTAGAGACGGGAGCTCACTCCATCATGCGGCACCCGGGTCTCGAACTGCTGAACTACTGACCTTCCACAGCCTGCAGTTCAGCGTCTTAACCACTTGAGCCACCGCAGCTCCGTTATTGTATTGGTCAGACCCAATAGGTGGCTATGCCATGCCTTGTGCACCATCATTCCACACACTGTTCATTTTTCCCAGAGGGGTGGACAACAGCACAAGTTTTGGTTGTTTTCCAGGCTGCAGTGCGGTGTGTCAACTTTGGGTTTTTTTTAAACTAACCATACCTCATACGGTAAGAATCAGTGTGGTTTAATGGATGGAGGAATTAGACTTTGGCCAGAGAGACCTGGTTCAAATCCCCACACAAGCAAAAACTGCACCTAACTTCTTTGGGTTGTTTATGAATAAATTAGGATATCCCTCGATATATATGGCCCTGAGCTCCTTTGAGAGATATGAACGGGATAAAACAAAGATCCATTATGCTCTGCTCCAAGCCCACAGGAGGGAATCAAACAGAGCACAAAGTTCTGCTGCTCAGCTAGGCTCCCTCTTTGACCTTCAGCTGTCGAGGAGAATTGCATTCTTTGCAGTCTCATCAGAGAAGGGGCGGGGTGAGTTTCTATATCCTGCACCAGGCTATTTGGCTGGACGCCAGGAGCAACCAGAAATGCAAGGCCTGGATCTTTGGCACAGGTGTTTACACAGGGAGCGGACTCTGTTCTCTGGACTGGAGCCTGACCAGAAAAAGTAGGGTCCTTTTTTTACTTAGTGAGTGAATTAAATCCTGCCACCTAACGTAAGTTTTACTTAACACAAAGCTGTGTGTGAGGTATTGTTCAAGAGCTGCTGTAAGAACACTGGTTTATACTCAGTGTTACTTCAAGTTGATTAAGTGGGCAGAGGCACGTAGGCTGCACGCTGGCCCGTAGCTAACATGGGGTCCACGGGGCCTGGCCCCCTAGTGTTTCCTATGGGCCCCCCTCCTCCCCGGGCGGACCCCTAAGGGCTTCAACTTGCCACCTGCATTGTACTTTGATTTAATTAGCTGGGGGCCCCCCAGGCCCCCTCCCCCAAAATTCCCTAGCTACGGGGTTGGCTGCACGGGACCAAGACACACATCCTTCCCACTGTGATGACATTCAGACCAGATCCTATAGCAAAGCTGTGCCTGGAAGGACTTTCCCTAAGGGCCCCTGTGGCCCTGGCCTAAAGGCAAAAGAAGTCTTGGCCTGATGTCCAGGCAAGCGAGAATGTATGGCCTGATAATACTTGGGGCTCAACAGCACTCTTCTGTCACATCTGCAGAGCAGTTTGGATGTGCAATATGATCTGATCGAAGCAGGTTGTGTCACCTGGAAAGGGGTTGCTGAAGTATACCTTGTACCATGTCTTGCTCAAGCAGAAACCCCAGATGGGACAAAGTCACGTTCACTTAGCACAAGGGGCTACTTAGAACATAAGAACATAAGAGGCGCCAATGTTGGATCAGGCCAAAGGCCCATCCAGTCCAACACTCGGTGTCTCACAGTGGCCAGAAATACCAGTGCCATCAGGAGGTCCACCAGTGGGGCCAGGACATTAGAAGCCCTGACATTCTTGTGCTTCCACTTGCACAAGCAGAAATGTTCAGTGGGATCCAACTCTGTGGATGTAAAAAGAACATCATTCAACTGCAATTGTGGTGAGATGAGGGGCGGGGGGAGGAGATGCCCTGACAGTCATGGTGACGGAAAGTGGTCCAGGCATCTTTGTGGCTAGGAAGAAGGGGCAAAGATGCTCTTTGCCAGATACAGAGCATCCTTTCCCAGCTGGGAGGGATAACACACCAGTCCTTTGATGTGTTAATACCTCTTGATTGAAGGGTACAGGTTTGCCAGGCTGGAGCCCCAAGGCTTAGCGCCCAGATTGGCTGAAGACCCCAGAGCACACATGGGGTAGGGTCTGAAAAGGGGTCCTATTTGGGGCTTCTTCTTGGTTTGAGCTGGTGGGAGGCTGACTTCTTGCCGAGAACTCCTTGGAGTGGGTGTTTTGCCATGAAGGATGACAGAGGGGAATGAGAGAGTTGCAGATACACCGGGATAGGGGCAGCCTGCAGCTACCCAAATCAGATGCGACCTGGATTTGTAAGTGCTTCAGTTAGCACTTGTCTTTTTGTTTATTTTCCTTAGTGTGCTTCAGTCCCGGCCTTTGCAATACCCTGAGTTTGTGCCTTGTAGAAATAAAGTTCTGTTTAACTTGAGAGGGTCTGTACAAGTCCTTACCCACCTGCCTGGCTCCTTCGGCATGCTACAACTGAGTATATCCCCAAGAGGTTGGCTTCGGGCAGCCACATGAGGGCGAGGCTGGATTTTACCCGAAGTGGTGGTGGCAAACGAAAGGGGGGGGGGGGAACAGTGGCTAGTCTTGCTCCACGATGTGACAGAGATCATGATAATAATGTTGGGCAATCAGTCTTTTATTTATTTATGATGACATCATCAAATCAAGCATTTCCACCCCAAGGGGGACAGCCACTAAGGTGGAACAAGGAATAATATATATGGTAATGTCATGGTAGATGGTTCCAAAGCTACATGGTACAGAAAGGTGGGGAGTCTGAAATGGGGTTGCCTTTTTTGGTGGCAGACTACATTTATAGTTAGCTCAAGTTCTCTCCCAAGACAGAATTTTTCATTCTCTTCAGATGCAGGATTTGGGTTATTAATCTTCAGGTGGTACCATTCTACAAGAATTACAACTGATCTCCAGTCTACAGAGAGCAGTTTCTCTAGAGAAAGTGGCAGCTTCAGAAGGTGGACTATATGGTATACTAGGAGAAACAGAAGTCCTCATATCCCCACTGAACCCCCTCCCTGAATTCTGCCCTCCATAAGCACTGCCCCCCAAATCTCCAGGGATTTCTCGCCAGAGATGGCAACCGTATGATTGCCCACTGCCACTCGTAACTGAAAGCTGCCCCATGTTGTCTCTAAGGGATGTGCCTTAACACAGTGAGATGACAGGCAGCGGACCTAGCAGGAGTAATCCCAACCACTGTTCCCTCTAAGCTGAGTTAGTGTGAGGTAGCTCACAGTTTTTTAGCCTCTGGCTCATATATTTTTGTCCTAGCTCAGGATGGGATGGCTCCAGAGCAGGCTAATCTATGCAGCAGCCAAATGACTTGCTCACAACTGTAATGCCAGTAGCTCACAAAGTAGAATTTTTGCTCACAAGACTCCACAGCTTAGAGGGAACACTGACCAACACTTCTTTCCCCACCCCATAGATGTGCTCTGGGACTGTCCATACAGGGATTCTATTGTTCCTTAATATGAGGAGTGATCAGGAGTTGCGTTTTCTTTCAAATCAAGCCAAATATCGCCCCACAGCCATGCTAATGTGTTCTGCATAATTCTTGTTACTCCCCCCCCCCCCCCCCATTCAGATCAAAACACAAAGATAAACACACAAACCAAAACCCCTGTTTTTATTGAGCTCCCCTCCCCCATGGGCTACCTTGCATGACTGGCTTTGTTTGAATAACAAATGGTGCAGATATGCTATCTCTTCGCGGTTTGCAAAAATACTGCCAGAGGAATGGAGTCCTCTCCAACCCAACCCCTGGCACCTGTTCAGGTGCGGCCTGGAAATCTCCTGGAATTACAGCTGACATCAGAGATCATTTGCCCTGGAGGCAAAGGGTAATTTGGTTGGTGGACTTTATGGCACCACATCCCGACTGAACTCCTTCCTCTGCTAAGGAAGTTTGTTAGACCTCACCTGGAGGTTGGTAACCCTTTACTGGAAAAGTACAATACCTACTGAATACGGCGCTTAGTCTGAATGGACGAGACCTTACCAAATCTTCTACTCGTGCAGTAATTCTTTATACTCAGGAATCAGACACATCTCAGCCATTTAAGACCCCCCCCTCCACTTTCCCCCCTCCACTTTCCCCCCTTGTTTGTGCACACCCGGTTTGAAGGGTTATTTACTGGAAGGCCCTCCTCCTGTGACGCAACATCCCAAGGACGTCTCTTGTGGCCTATAGAAAGTTGCCAATGTACGCCGTGAGCCAATCGGATTTAGGGATTTGAAGACTAAAGCCAGGTGCCAGGAAGCTTCTAGGAAGCGGCAGCTGCTGATTTGCGCGGAGGCGGAGAAGCAGAAGTCAAAGGGGATTCTGAAGGCGAAGGTAGTGAAGGGGATTTGTCGTTTTGGTGGTTAGCACCGGGTTCATGCAGCCCAGGGCGGAGGGCTTTCTTTGGGGGACTATTTCCCTTTGTAGCGTTGCAAAGCCAGTCTCCCACCTGTGTCTTTTAAGGTGCATTCCTATGTACCCTCCGTTGAGAATAAAGCTCACGGAACTCCATGACACCTGATTTCAAGTTAAAAGGGTAGTGCAGTTTTAAAGGCTGCCGCAAATACCTGGTGAAGCGAAGGTGTAGCAGCTATTTAGACTGAGTTGCTTGTATCCAACCTTGTCTTGTCATCCTGCTGGGACTGACACTTTTGGTACTAGTAGTATGAAAGTGGCCAAGCTTGCTGGCCTACTAAGCCATGTATTTTAAGAAGTCTGAGAGCTCCAGGTTGCACAGATGTATTTCTTGTTTTGCTAAAACTCAGCCTTATTTTTTTTAAAAAGACCATATTTACTGTATTGTATAATGTCTAACACTTTTTTGCATTGTTAGTAAATTTTCTATACTTATTGCACTGCTTATTAGATTGCACTTTATTTACTACATTTATGCTCTACTTTTCCTCCCTGTTGGGGGCCTAAAGTGGCTTACAACATTCTCCCCTTTTCCATTTTATCCACCTAGCAACAGGGACTATAAATAAAAGCAGGGCAAAACCTAATAAACTTAATAAATTATTAATATAGAATAAACAGAGTTTTAGAATTCATGGTTTATTGGGCCTGTAACCAATAAGAGAGTGGGAGAAGAGAATCAAAGAGCCCCTCAGTTCTTGACGTTTGTGGATGGGAGAGACGTGCATGAGAAGAGAAAAAAGAAAAAGTCCAAGGGAGAGGAGAAAAAAAAACATGCCTGAGTTTTGTGGAAACTCTGTTGGGTGGTAAGCTGCACTCCTGGGCCTAGGTTGGCCACCCTTGTGGAAAAAATAGTACTGGTGGTATAATTATCTGTTAGTCACATTTTAAACCCCTGATGATTCCATTCTCCTGTTTTATCCTCCCAATAACTCTAAGAAGTAGCTTAGTCAGAAACAATGACCCAAGTTAGTCAGTTGGCTTCATAGCAGGGTGTGGATTTGAACCCAAGTCTCCCTCATTCTAATCTGACACAAACCGTAACAAGCCACTATAATACACAGTATTACTCTTAACATTGATGTAATGGCTCCAGCATTTACACACTTGGTATCCTTTCAGTATTGTTTACCTTTTTTTAAATACCCATGGTGGGAGGTGAGTGCTTGAAGCAGAAAGAGCTTGCCTGAAGCCATCTTGGGAACTTGTGGCAGAGGTGAGATGAGAACCTGGAACTTTCTGGTTCACCTATTCAGTGGACGTAGAAAGGTGTGACTATGCTTAGGACTGCTCCGTTAAAATTCGGTGCATATATGATATTGATTAGGTGCATATATGGTATTGATGTTTCCTTCTTTTTGGGTATTGGGCTCACAGCCCGTTGGTGTCAGTACTGAAGATAGAGTCTGGAGGTGTTCCTGGATGCCTCATTGACTGTGGAGGCCCAGGTCACTGCCACAGCCAGATCTGCCTTCTTTCATCTGAAGCAGATCAGGCAGTTGGCCCCATACCTTTCCCTCAGCAACCTGGCTGCAGTGACCCATGCAATGGTCACTTCCAGATTGGATCATTGTAATTCTCTCTACGTGGGGCTGCCCTTGACTTTGCTCCGGAAGTTACGGCTAGTGCAGAATGCAGCAGCATGGGTGTTCATGTTGCTGCCTGTGCGGGCCCACATCTGCCTGGTGCTGCACAAACTGCACTGGCTGCCTGTTGAATTCTGGATCCACTTCAAGCTGCTGGTGCTTACCTTTAAAGCCCTATACGGACAGGGGCCTGAATATCTTTGAGATCACCTTTCCCCATATGAGCCCTGCAGAACATTGCGTTCTGCAAACCAGCATCTTCTGGTGGTCCCTGGCCCTAAGGATGTCTGACTTGCCTCAACCAGGGCCATGGCATTTTCAGCCCTGGACCCCACCTGGTGGAATGAGCGCCCTTTTGAGATCGGGGTCCTGTGGGACTTTTTACAGTTCTACAAGGCCTGTAAGATGGAGCTCTTCTGCTAGGCTTTTAGTTGAAAATACACATTCAGTTATAAATGTAGCTTAAAGAATCATAAGAACATAAGAGAACATAAGAGATGCCAATGTTGGATCAGGCCAAAGGCCCATCCAATCCAACACTCTGTATCCCACAGTGGCCAGAAATACCAGTGCCATCAGGAGGTCCACCAGTGGGGCCAGGACATTAGAAGCCCTCCCACTGTTGACCCCCCCCCAGCACCAAGATGACAGAGCATCACTTGCCCCAGAGTCCCTGTCTATACCTTGTGGCTAATAGCCACTGATGGACCTCTGCTCCATATGCTTATCTAATTCCCTTTTGAAGCCGTCCATGCTTGTAGCTGCCACCACTTCCTGTAAACCATTACACACAAAACTGTCACCTACATTACTACTTATCAACTCTTGAAGGAAACATTCCATGTTGACTCTCTAATAACAGAACCCAAGGTATTCACAATGTATTAGCTAGATTCTCAAAGTCAAACATAAAGTCTCCACTGCTAATTGCTACCAGCCACGGTCTGCCTATGCAAACAGCATTTAAAGTGCTAGTGTATCCATGTATGTTTTTTTCTATTTATAAAAACCCAACTGTAATATGCCATCTATATTATTACTTTCACATATTAACAGTCTATATAAACATCAAAATCTTTTTTATTCAGTGTCAAGCCTTAGCAGCCATGGCTGGACATTATAACCATGTCTAAAGTGACAGGGTGTGATTTTCAAAAGACACTCTGTGGGAACAGTACCAGACGTGAGGAGATTTACATTCTATGCCAAAGTTCTAAACTTACAACTAACATAATACAGGTATGATTATAGAAAACAACTGAGATCAAGTTCTGAGTTTAGCCCATGAGGTAGTAGTGAATTCAACCTGTGTATCCATCTAGCCTCTTGCAGCAACACCTTCCTTATGTTAAGAGTAGTATTAGCAACAAATAAAACTGAATAACGAAAATAATCACAAGCATGATTGTTTTGAACAAAATGCTCAGTTAAAGCAGCATCTAAATTGTTATTCCTAATGTGGGAAATATGTTCAAGCACCCGAACTTTGATAGGACACTCAGTTTTTCCCACATATACCCGTGGACATGAACATAAGACAACAGAAATTATTCCTGGAATGCGCTTCACCTCCCACTATTGGTTATCATAAAACAAAGAGCATCAAAGATTATGTGGTACGCTCAGATTTGAGGAAATTCAGGTCCCCCACTGGTCTACCCCCTGGGCACCACTGTTGTGGACATTGCAAAATTTGCCATATGGCCATTGAGGGGGAGACCATTAGGATTCCAGAACATAAACCTATTGGACTATCTGTGTTCTCAACATGCTCAGCTTCAAATTTAATTTAAGGAAGGTGTTGCTACAAGAAGAGGCTAGATGGATACACAGGTTGAATTCACTACTACCTCATGGGCTAAACTCAGAACTTGATCTCAGTTGTTTTCTATAATCATACCTGTATTATGTTAGTTGTAAGTTTAGAACTTTGGCATAGAATGTAAATCTCCTCACGTCTGGTACTGTTCCCACAGAGTGTCTTTTGAAAATCACACCCTGTCACTTTAGACATGGTTATAATGTCCAGCCATGGCTGCTAAGGCTTGACACTGAATAAAAAAGATTTTGATATTCAGATCAAAACATCTGAGAGCCAGTTTGGTGTAGTGGTTAAGTGCATGGACTCTAATCTGGGAGAACCGGGTTTGATTCCCCACTCTTCCACTTGCACCTGGCTGGATGACCTTGGGCAAGCGATAATTCTGGCACAGCTGTTCTTGGAAAAGAGCAGTTTCTGTCAGCGTTCTCTCAGCCCCACCTACCACACAGGGGTGTCTGTAGTGGGGAGGGGAAGGGAAAGTAGTTTGTAAGCCACTCTGAGACACCTTTGGATAGTGAAGGGCGGGGTATAAATCCAATCTCTTCTTCTTCTTCTTCTTCTTCTATATAGACTGTGAATATGTGAAAGTAATAATATAGATGGCATATTACAGTTGGGTTTTTATAAATAGAAAAAAACATACATGGATACACTAGCACTTTAAATGCTGTTTGCATAGGCAGACCGTGGCTGGTAGCAATTAGCAGTGTTTGGCTTTGAGAATCCAGCTAATACATTGTGAAGACCCTGGTTTCTGTTACTAGAGAGTCAACATGGAATGTTTCCTTCAAGAGTTGATAAGTAGTAATGTAGGTGACAGTTTTGTGTGTAATCATTTATTATGATTCTGTAAGCTACATTTATAACTGAATGTGTATTTTCTTCCTTTTAGTGATAAGGGGATTGCTACACGCTCAGATATAGCAAATATTGTGAAACAAATTGTTTTCATTGCGCAGTATTCGTTGCGTGTGAGCAATTATAGAAGAAAATTTTCTACAGAATTACTACAGTAAATGTTTTTGCAACTTATCTTTATTGACTCTTCGTTATTTTTGTCACGGATGATGTTTTTGGTATTCCACTTCCTCCCGTGATCTCTCATTTTTGGCTTCTACGAGGCTTTTAGTTGAGGCAGCAGGCATCCACCTGATATGGTCTTCCCTCCAAGGACCACAGATCCACATTGCTGGTATCAACATCATCTGTCGAGGCATATTGGGCATCTAGTACTAGATTACTTTAGGTTTTAAATTTTAATTGATTTATGTGTTTCACATTTTAATTGTAAATGTGCACTGTGTGCAGATTGATATGTTTGGAACCCGCCCTGAGCCTGCTATGTGACGAGGGTGGGCTATAAATTTAATAAAATAAATAAATAAAATGCACTAAGACTTCTTTATGGGGAACAAGAGCTCCACCTCAACAGCATTTACCTTTGCTTCTCATGTTGGTTTACCCTCTTCTTAAGGCTAGTAGTTAATGTTTCCTTATAACCTAAACAGGGT